GAGGAGCTGGGAGAGGAGGAGCGGGGAGAGGAGGAGCGGGAGAAGAGGAGGAGCTGGGAGAGGAGGAGCTGGGAGAGGAGGAAGGCTCGAGTATCACCGGCCAGTCAATGGAGACTTGTGGACGTTTGTCTCTGAGACGGATGACAGATGGACGTGTGAGGGACAAACACAACAGAGCTGAAGACCAATTAAAAATAACTGAACCTGATTAGTTCATCGATTCTTCACAATCATTTTTTTCTATTCAAATGTCTGGATGTGATGTTTTTTGTTTCAATCTGACAAAATAAACAATACAACCACAACAATTATCCCGTTAACGCTGAAAAGAGTAAGCGATGAATTGGTAATGAAAATAATCATTAGTTTAAGCTCTTATTTAATCAGTTGGAGCTCAAACAATTTGCTGATTAATTGATGAGTGTATCAGACATGAATCAACTTTAATTTACATAATTGCTTAATTATTTAAGTGAATGTATCAAGCAGAGATGCCTGTGATGCAACGGTAAGTTTTCTTTGTTAAATCAAACATCTTTCCTCTGGTTTTCACTATTTTCTGACACCTTATAGATCAAGTCAAATCAAGAGCATTGTCCCCCATCACACGTCTCCCATCTTACCTGAGGCAAGACTCTCCCTCTCTCTCTCTCTCTCCCCCTCTCTCTCTCTCCCCCTCTCTCTCTCTCTCTCTCTCTCTCCCTCCCTCTCGCTGTGGTCATCCAATGCAAACAGGGAAGCATGACCGGCCTGCAAAGCTGCCGAGCACTAAAAATGATGAAGTGAAATCCCGCCCCCTGTTTGATTATAAGAGCCAACGTGATTGATGAATTCAGGCCTTGAGTGTGTGTGTGTGTGTGTGTGTGTGTGTCTGTGCCTGTGTGTGTGTGTGCGTGACTCATCAGTCCTTTGCGCCGGCTGCAGTGGAATCTACAAAAGAGAAAAGAAAGGTTTCCTTTACCTCGTGGAGCTCTTCTGAAAACCAACGGCGGCGGCTCCTTTAGTGGCGGCTCGTTGCACCTACAGGGCTTCCCTCCGTCGGACGAATTAGCGATGCAATTTAGCGGCGATAGTTTATGACGTCACATAAGAAAACTGATCTTGTTTTATTGTCACGTGAAGAAAGCCGTTCAAAAGCGGAATTAGTTGGTTGGACAACAAAAACACTCGATGATGAGAAGTGAAAAAACGAGGCTTGGCGACGTAGTTTTTGCTTTTCTGACAAAAAAAATTCAATAAAACAAAAAAATCAATGCAAAGATGCTCTTTGGGGCAAAGATATTATATTGCAAATACATTTTAGGACACCATTAAAACATTCCCATACAATGAACTACACCCTCTGAAGACGATGACCATGCAGATGTGCTGCAGTGGGAGATTTTGCCTGATGTCTCATTACGGATTCTCAGAATATTTGCATTCAGGGTTTGAGGAGACGAGGCTGTTGACATATGATGAGAGAAGCCCGTGTACCTAATAGCATAACGTAACTAACTGCATGTGGTTGCCCCTCCTACAAGATGAACGAGATGCACGATGAATCAATCTGAACTAAAACGTTCCTCACTTTGATTCAGTTTGTGGTGCACACGAAGTGATGCATTTGATAACACATAGACACATAAAACATATATCAAGAAGTACGAAATGACCTCAGAGACACCAAACCAAGCACAAAGAGGCTAAAAGGAATCACAGAAGGACACTAAATCAATACGAAAAGATGCAGAAACGAAAGCAAAGCGAAACAAAGAGCGAGAAAAAAGAGAAAAAAGGGAAACAAAAGGACCAGAAGACACGACAAGAGACACCCAACAACAACAACAATGTGTGTGTGTGTCGCCTCGTGAGTCCAGCGCGGTCCAGAAGCGGTCGGACACCGTGTGGCTAACCCCTTCTCTTCTTCTACCCCCCCCTCCCCCCCGCCCTTCTGTTCCCTCGTCCCAACTGTACAAAAAAAAACAAAATAAAAAAATAAAAATAACCAGAAGCAAGACGTTCTGAACCAAGTAAGGCCGGTCCGCCAGGGCCCTGCATGCTGTGTGGAGTCTGCATGCACGCCGCGTCCACTGACACCACATGACCCCCGCCTCACCCGCTACAGATGGTCTGTCCACCGCCCGGGGGGGGGCGGGGGGATTGGGTGGAGTAAGCCTGTGCACCCACCACATGGCTGAGGGATGGGGGGGGGGCGTTGGAATGGGACCATGACGTGTTTTGCTGTCTGTTGCGCTTTCTGTTCACTGCTTTTCAACATGTCGGCTTGAAAGAAGATTCTTTTAAGCCGACATGTTGAAACTGCACGGGACATTGTGCGACAAGACTGAAGCTCAAGGCGGCTCGAACCAGATCCACTGCTGGATTTATTGCCTATCAAAATAAAAGCGGCAACTGTAAACGGTTAAAAGAGCATTCAGCTGAAAGGAAGATCAATGAAAGCAAAGTTAACTGCTGGTGTGAAGAGTTTTCATGCAAACCGTGTGTTCGTTAAGCCCCCCCCCCCCCCCGGTGTGTAAAGGCCATTGGGGTAAATTGCTATTTAAAGTGTTTGTTTGCCTTAAACGTCCCTCAGCTGTTGCTGCTATCATCCCAAATCAGGGCTGCAGACCTTCATTCCAGCGCGACACGAATCCACCAAGTCCATCGCACCGGTCGTCTGTCCCTGGATGGTGTAATCTCCACCCGTAAGTGTACCCAGTTTAACCTGTCCCCCCCCCCCCCCCCTCCTCCTGCAGCCCATTGACTACGAGGGCTTCCAGCTCTTCATGGCCACCTACCTGGAGAACGACATCCCAGAGGAGCTGTGTCAGCACCTCTTCACCTCCTTCAAGAGCAAGACCGGAGGAGGCTCCCCCGACCCGTCTCGCGCCGGGACCAGCTTATTGGGTACGGCTTTTTGATATTGGTATTGATTCACCAAACAGGGACCTCGTCGGATGGAGCTCAGTTCGTGACGTCCCGGCGTTCCCATCTCTTCCGTCCGCAGTCGGTTTGTCTAATAATCCCTAAAAAAGGAATATTCCACCCTTTAAAATGACATTTTCTGTATCAATCAATCACCTTGTTTTTTTCTCACCAGGAGAATTCAAAATTGGCCGAAACGACCAATATAATCCCAGTTGAATTGATCCGGTCGTACGGTTCATATTGCTACAGATTATAGACCACAAACCTGCGCATGGGGGGGTGACAGAAAGCAGGCATTTCGTGAGCCGCGACACGCGTGTGCAGCGCCCTCATCGTCACATGTGCGTCCCTGCTGCGGGGCTCACAGCGCCTGCACTGACACCTGGTGGCACTTTCGACAACGTGACGCGAGCTCATCTCTGTCCCGACTGATTCCTTCCGTCCCTTCAGAAGACAGTTTTTAATGGCCGTTGCGACAGAGGCTCATTTTTCTCTCCCCGGATGGCATCAGAAAGTCCGCCGGGGAGGTAAGAAGACGAGAAGCTGCAACCCATTATGCAGCACGCGTGTATAGCAGATGCATCTACTGAGTCCACTGACGGAACCGTCAAATAGGGCCGTTATAGGGTCGTCTCGATTGTCTTCGCCCCGTGCGGTTCATCCAGGCGTCAGCGTGTCGACGGGCTGCGCGGATTCATTCCAATGGAAGTGTGATCTTTATCTTTGTATGTTTGCTCCACTGCTCCCGTCATTCATTCGACACCTTTATAGTATTTATCCCATGAAATAAGATGATGACATGTCTGCACTGCTCTCATTCTCGCCGCGTCTGCCACTGTCCCCCCCCCCCCCCCCCCCAAACCCCCTTCTGCTGAAAAACAATGGCCGACCCCACAGAGGCCCGCTCCATTGACGCAGGCATCTCTATTCAGACCGAAGTGGCCTGTGCCCCCATCACAGGTACTGGAGCCGAGCAGGGTGATGTCATCTTAACGGGACGAGGGCCCCCGGCTGGCCGTGACCTCCTGCTCCCCCCCTCCTTTTTCTTTCCCTGTTGTGCTCTGGTTATGTGGATGTGACGTGGTGTGTTTTTTTGGCCTGTGGACCGGTGGAAGAACTCGTGAGTGTCGTCCTCTGAGCTTTGGGTTGTGCGTCGTGGTTTGGCCGTACTTCTTCGTGCTGCTGCTTGCCCGTTTCTCAACATCATTGACTCATTTTCCCTTTTCCTCCCCCAGGGATGAACGGGAAGAGCATCCTGTCTGCGATGGGCCGGCACACACCGGAGCCCCCCGGCGTGGCGGCGGCGGCGGCGGGCTCGGGGGCTGCCTCCCCTTGCTCGTCCCGCTCCTCCTCGCAGCGTTCCGGGACGGGGCCCCGCACACCTGGGGGGGCCCAGCGATCGCCCTGCACGCAGGTCAAAACCTCAGAGGGCGCCGGCAACGCCCTGACCCCCAACGCCCGTCCCGCCAGGTCGCCGGCGTCCCCCAAACGTTCGCCAGGTGAGATCGGTCTGCGAGGGGCTGGAGTCAATGGGACGGGATGAAAAGTTTGGAGTCCTCAGAAGAAGTCACAGCTGGTGCTGCTCTTCACAGACACACCTGAGTGTTACCTGGAGGCCGGGACGACTCAGGGTTTCAAACCTCAACATTCATGTCTCCGTTGTATGTGAAAACCCGTTTTAGTTAACAAATAATTGTGTTGATGTGTGTCTCTGGTAGACACACACACATTGGCCAATGATCAGTGAAATAAAAAGATTTGAAATGTCCATATTTGGAAACAAACCTCCATGCTGTTTCCTCATGTTTGATCCCTTTTTAGAAGCAGCACGAGTAGAAAGAATAACACGCAAAAAGCTTCACAACTGTGTGTGCGTGTGTGTGTGTGTGTGTGTGTGTGTGCAGTAATCCACTCGGGACCTTTCGTACGGCTTCCATCCGTCTTATGCTGTCGGGTTGTTTCGGTCTGCACAGCTCTGGAATCAGAGTTTCCTAAACCTCTCAGACTGATACTGTAATGTGTGATCTACTGCTGCTTCCACTTCGTCCGTTACCTTTACCCCCCCCCCCCCCCCCCCCCCAGCACAGAGGAGCAGGGGCCATGAACTCTGTGTGTCCTGCGTCCTCAGAGAGGAGCCACTCGGAGAAGCGTTTGTCGCTGCGGAGGAGCCCGTCGCCCCAGAAGGGCCCCCCCCCGCCGTCGCCCCAGGTGGTTTTTCTGAAGGACATCGTCTGCTACCTCTCCCTGCTGGAGAGGGGGACGCCGGAGGACAAGCTGGAGTGTGAGTGACGGGGATGGGTCGGGGGGGTCGAGCTGCGTGTGCCGGGGCCCCTGATTAATATAATTCCCAGAGCTTTAGGTACACGGGGGGGTCCCACTCGTCCCACTCAGGACGGCCCACTGGACCCCTCAGGCGACTGTGACTGTGACGAGGTGAATTATGGGTATCTGAGTCAGCGCGTGACCTCTGCTCTCTCCGCCCCCTCCAGTCATGTTCCGGCTGTACGACACAGACGGCAACGGGGTCCTGGACAGCTCGGTGAGTGACCCCCCCCCCTCTGCCCCCCCCCCTCTCCGGTCTAAGGCTAAGAATAGACACCTGAGCACAGCGTGTGTCCACCTGTCATTTGTCCTTTTTGTGTCTCTGTGTAACACACACAAACACAAAAGTATATAAGTGAGCATGAAAACGACCACAATGATCATTAAATGGAGGTAATAGGGCAGAATGATCCCTTTGCTGTTAAATAATAATTTTTAAAGATTTTTTATAATAATACAAATAAAGAAGTAGTCATTTTCTCATAGACTTCTTTTCATCTTGACTTGAATCTTGAATTTCGCCCCCTGCTGGTTGTTAGAGATAAAGGGTTCTCCTGACCCAAAGGCTCTGATGGTGACGCGTGCCGTCCATGTTCAAAACGTGTGAGCCTGCTTGTTTTCGAGCAGGAGGTCAGGCCCGGTTCTCTGTGTGCAGGAGCTGGATCGCATCATCAACCAGATGGTGCACGTTGCAGAGTATCTGGAGTGGGACTCCACCGAGCTGCGACCGGTGAGCAAATGCACGCCGCGAAAAGTCTGAGGCGGAGGCGTTTTTTTTTTTTTTTTTTCGCCCAGAGTGCGAGGGAGGCCGACTCCTGTCCCTGCAGCCTCTGGTTTCTGAGGACGGTACGTGTCCCTGTCCCTTCAGATACTGAAGGAGATGATGGAAGAGATCGATTACGACGGAGACGGGACGGTCACGCTGGAGGAGTGGATCCGAGGAGGCCTCACCACCATCCCTCTGCTGGTCCTGCTGGGCATGGAAACGGTACATATCCCGACTCACTGTACGCTTTGTCCCCACACAGCTGTGCTGAAATGCACCTTATTGTGTTATAACTGCTGCCAATTATTACAGATTCACATCTTAAGGGCTTTCTGCCTCTTTATGACCTCATATCAAGTGCCATATATTGTCTGTGTAATGATGCTGTATATCGGGGAAAAGCTCAGTAATAATTTAGAGGTAAGTAATTTCATGCACATACTTCAGTGTTACCGATACAGTAGCTTGATATTAACAATGGTAATATTAGAAAAAAGGGTAACCTGCTAACCACAACATGCTTATCCGTCCATGAAGATTTAGATTAATGATAATAATAATAATAATAATAATAGTAATAGTAATATTGAGGCACTAACAACGACCCCCGTGCGTCTTCACAACCCTCATTGGTAACTTTGTATATTACCACTGTTTCTGTGCAATGCAGAGTTTAATCTACAACATGTTCATCGGCTGGAGTGCTGCCGGGTCGTGTCGTTTTGAAGTGTTGGTCCTCGTTGTCACTTTTTCAGAATGTCCAGGAGGACGGGCAGCACGTTTGGCGCCTGAAGCACTTCAACAAACCCGCCTACTGTAACTACTGCCACACCATGCTGCTGGGGGTCCGCAAGCAGGGCCTGTGCTGCTCCCGTGAGTCTCCTCTCCTTCTCCACCGCCGTCTCCCTCGCCCTCCTCCCTTCACTCCCACCTGCATCCGGCTCGTTCGGGCCTCTGAGTCGGCGTCGTTTTTCCCGCCCATCGCTAAAAAGGGGCCGTCGGCCGCGTGTCGCTTTGCCTCTGGAGGCCCGCCGCGCGTTGAAACGACCTCTAAACAACCCGCCGTCTCTCTCCGTCCCCCCCCCCCCCCCCCCACCCCCACCCCCACACCCCCCTCCAGTGTGCAAGTACACGGTGCACGAACGCTGCGTGTCCAAAGACATCGCCGCCTGCATCAGCACCTACGCCAAGTCCCGGAGACACACCAACGTGAGTACGGAGGCCCGGTGGGGGGGAAGGCTGTGGAGGGGGGGGGGTTCGGGGGGGTCGGCTGATTCTGGGTCCGTCTCTACGCTTTGTTTCTCTCCCTGCAGGCTATGCAGCACGTTTGGATGGAGGGGAACTCGCCCACAAAGTGCGACCGCTGTCACAGGAGCATCAAGTGCTACCAGGGCCTGACGGGGCTGCACTGCGTCTGGTGCCAGATCTCTGTGAGCGGCCGCCTCCACCTGGATCAGATCCTGCTCCCACAGCTCGGTGGGAGCGTTCGGCGTTATAACGGCTCGTGCTTCAGACCACGTTGTCCGTTTGTTAGCTTTGCGTAGCTTACAACCGCTGCAAACGCCCACATCACTTTAAATTCAATTGCATTTTTTTTTAAACCAACACACGTTGTCACGCAGCATCACACGCAGAGGGATTTAAAGAAACTAAGATCACGAGCTTCATGACAGGAGGACACGTCACAGGACTCTACCTGATAAAGTGGCGTCTCACCGCGCATGTTGAGTGTAAAATCTTTCGCTTTTCTCCGCTGTAGTCTCCATAATCACTGCCTGCAAACCTCTCTGTGCATTTTACTCTGCAGTGCTCCTTAAATCCACTAGATGTCCCCGCTGACTTGATGCTGAGTCGACATCCATTATTTTGGCCAAAACTCTCAATTTCACAAATCAGTTCCTGCACAGAAAGTCCAACTTCTTTTGACCGATGCCATTTAGCCGCTGCGTTCTCCGAGGGTCAACGCACGCTGATTTACACCCAGCGCTCTTGTGTGTGTCGGCCTCTGCTCTCCCCCGCAGCTCCACAACAAGTGTGCATCCAACGTGAAGCCGGAGTGTGATGGAGGCGCCTTGAGGGACCACACGCTGTTGCCCTCGTACATCTGCCCCGTCGTCTTGGTGAGGCTGCTTTTTTTTCTTTCCCTCGGCTCAGTGAGATCCAGGACCAGGTGCACCTTTTTAGAAACGCTCTGAGCAGCGTTAATCTACGGCGGGAAGGTGACAGAAACAGTGGATTTAACAGTCGGTTCAACAGGCTCCCTCCACCAGGTCACGCCGATGTCGAACCCCCAAACACCTGCATCCATGTCACACCCAGTGAGGATTCTCTGTGGTCCGACTTCCTCAATTTGCCCCACAAACACGCCATCGACAAGCCAATTCTCACGCGTGATGCCCTGGCAGTGCAGGCCCTGATTCATCCAGTAACAGCCCTCCCCTCCCTCCCAGGACCGCCACTCTGTGGTGAAGCGCGGCGAGGGGGAGTCGCCCCCCAGCACCGGGCCCGACGACATCAACCAGACGTTCAGGTTCTCCCCTGGAGACGGACAGGCCCTGCAGGTACGTCCCGTCGGCGCCAGACGCCATCGCACTGGAGCTGGTGGGCGGACGGCTGAGGCTGTTTTTGCTCCCCGTCTGCAGGTCACGCCCCTGCCGGGGACTCACCCGCTCCTGGTGCTGGTCAATCCCAAGAGTGGAGGGCGCCAGGGGGAGCGGTAAGTTCCCTGCACCCGTCGAACAAACACATCTGGGAATGTTGTGTAGTTATCGAGGGGTTTTTGATTTTTTTAAATCACATTTTACAGATATTTTTTTACATTCAAAGAGCTTAGATTTAACGATTTCCATTTGTCATTTTAATGAACTTCATTATGGTTGCTTTAGTTCAACGTAATAACAGTTTATTTCCCACGTTGGCGTTTCTAATTATGGGATAAACATATTTGTCCTATAAACGCCTAAATTAGACATTTAATTATTGACTTTAAATAAAATGCATGCGGGACGCCCCGGTTCTACCTGTGTGAGATGCGGGGAGGACGCCCGCTGGAGGACACACGGACAGACTGCTGTCATTCAGGGCCTCAGATTACGTCCTCCACCTCCCGTCACAAAGATGACAGGGGCCATTAACGCTCTAAATAAGTCCTTATTGTCCCCCCCGCCGACGGCACCAACAGAGACCAATCATTCCCTGTCGCTCCCCATCAGTCTCCCTCGTTACCACAGCAACCCGCTCTTTATTGCCATTAGAAAGGAAATTGTTTTCTATTTATAGTAATTACACAGAAAAAGGAAACATACACAGAAACCAGAGGGTGTTTCTGTTGATTTGAAAACGTCTTCTGTTTCAGTTTCACTTGATTGATTAACTTAATCAGCGGTTGAATGCGCTCCGCACTACACGCACGTTGTCATCAATCCTGGCCACATTTCCATCACCGCGGCACCTTCTAACTTATTAATACGAACACATTCAATGCCAGACACCCGTGCTGCAGAAGAGGCAGCCCGGCAGGTGAAATAGGAGCAAAGTCAGCGGGCAGGTGACCCCTCACAAGGTCACAGCAAACCGCTGCGTCGACGCGCAGCTCGCCGAGACCGCTTCGCGGGAAGCAGAGAGACGGAGGAGACGGAGGAGATAGAAGAGCGCGCGAAACTCTCCGCTTCTTGGTCTCTTTTATCCTCCCTGATCTCTGCGGTGATTATTTCCTCTGCACGATTACGCCTTGCGGGACACGCCGTTGGAGATGCACAGGAGCCGCCTCGCGTGTCTCCGGCGCAGCTATCGTTACGATTTCACCATGTCGCCAGAAGATGTGACGCCACTCTGATCCAAAAAAGGTTCATCTCGAGACCAGCAGAGATGGATGATGAGCGTTATTTAGGTATCTTCCTCCCAACATTATTCTTATAGCACCATCCAACGCTGATTCTGTTAGACCCGTCCGGCGAGGTGTGAAAGGCACCAAAGATCGCTGTCATTTCACAGCGTGTCTCTGGGCCTTCAGAGGCTGAGCTGCTCCCCTTGTTCTAACAAAGAGAGCGTGGCGTATTCAACTATGGATGACTGTATTATGTCTGATGTAATATTTAGCATGTGGCGTATGTAGGTCGGATGTGTTTCTAAGCTGAGTGCTGTCTGTGTGTCCTCCACAGGGTGCTGAGGAAGTTCAGGTACCTTCTAAACCCCAGGCAGGTGTACAGTTTGGAGCAAGGGGGGCCAATGGTAGGGTAAGTCTTCATCCCTTATCCCAGTTAAGCCTCTCACGACATTACAGCACGGGGTAAATAGATGAACGGGCACAAAGAAATGAAGCTGTTACTCATTAACAGATGCAAATGCAGCTGTTCTGCTGATTTGCTTTCATGGAGTCGGGAGTTAGCGTTTCAGAACGAAACGTCAGGAATCTGGAGAACAGTTAATCATTTTTCAGCTTTGCCGTCAGAACACCAGCTCTCTAAAACGTGGAGGTCGTTGAAGGGGAATGGGAACACGGCGTTACTGCCGCACTGTGCATCTGACCTCCCGACACACACACACACACACACACACACACAGACACACACTTAGCACAGCTGAGCACAGCTTGTACTTGCAAATAAATGCTGCTGCACCTCTTGTCCATTAAAGGCAGAAACAGGCTGTAAATGCTTTACCTTGAAGGGGAAGCCCTCCGCTCGCCACCCTTTGTCTTCCCTTCATGTGAATCCGTCTCCTCCTCTGGGACACGTGCAGACGGACGCGCCGTGTTCCCCCCCATGAGGGACTCCAACCGTCCCGGGGCTCAACTTTCCTGCACTCGTTAAAAAACAGAACGCAAAGCGGCATTGAACGTGCCTTTTTCTGTGCTCAACTCCTTCTTCTCAAAGAAGATCTCTTTGCGTGCGGGGGGGCGAGGAGATGGAGCGGGGGTAAAACGCTGTTGTTGCTGGTGTCCGTGCTGCTGCTGAGAGGAGGAGAGAGGCTCGTGCACGAGTGACACAAAGGCCTTAATGAAGATCTGTTGACTCGTCGAGGGTGAACCAGGAGCTCCCCTAGCAACAGCCTCCGGCGAGAGGCAGCTAGCGCTGAGTTAGCCGGGCTAAGTTGCAGGCCGACGCAGACATGGACGCGATGCGCAGCTGCAGGCCGGGGGGTAACGCGCACTCGGCAGGTGCATGTCGGTGTGAAGGCTGAGGCGGCCGGAGGACGACACGGCGGTTTGTCTCTCATCGCGACGACCGTAACGTTAAGTAGAACCTGCAGCGATCACTTTAAAAAGTGAAAAGCCGGATTGGAAGTGATGCCCCTCGTGTTATAGGTCACCCTCACTGCCCCGCCTCCTTCTGGCTAAATGGCGTGCCACCTTAACGCCCACACACCTGACCTGCGTGACAAAATTCAGCCTTCTTATGCAAAAAGGGGCGGGATCTTCTTGGTGGGTTGACAGACATGGATCTAGAGGTCCAGTCCTGGTCTCCGCGCTCACGCACTCCGTGAGGTTCCCAGGCGGCCATTCTGAGCCCTTATCAATCCTTTCTGTCTTTACTTAGCCCATGGTAATTACCCACAAGCCATTGCAATGTGACGTCACAAATGGGATAACCAGTGAACGCATGGAGACGGAAAAACCAGCAATTTATTATTTATTTCTCCAATGATTGGCTTCCTCATTCAAGCTATTTTGACAAAAAAACATAAAGAAAGAGCCTGGAAGCCGTTCACAACAGAGTAAAACTAATTAATAAATACCCTCAAATGTAAATCATATTTTTTGATGTTGTCATGGCGACGGGACGTTTGGCATCACAGTGCTGTCCCATTCCTATTTACACCGTTTAAAGCCCTCACACACTCTCACACTCAACCGTTTACCAAGAGACGTCAGTTAAATCCCTGAGGGTTCAGGCTTCAGGGGGGGTTAGGCTTTAAGGGTCAGGGGGGACATTGGTATTGGGACAGAGCGTCCTTGTCCATCGTAATGAAGGGACGTGTCTCCCTTGTGGAACCAGATCGTCTCTTCTCAGCGAGAAAACTGAACTAATATCCCCATATTGTCTATTTAAGTTAAACATTTAGCGAGTCCTCCACATCACCAGAGCAAATCTTCTCCCGTAGCGCCGAGCCGGCGGCGTGTTTTGACCCTGGAGCAGAGGGTCCGTGGGCCCGAGGGACCAGGTGGTCCTGCCTGTAAGCAGCTGCCTCATGACGGAGAGACATGAAAGCTGCTGTCGACGCCTTTGTCCCGGTGCGCATTAAAGGTCCCTTTGAAGGCCGTCCCTCGGGGGACGGAGTGGAGCGAGCACAGCTGGAGGGGACATTGATTAAACTATTGCATGCCCCCCCACCCCCCCGTCTCCCCCATTCTGAAATGCAATCGACCGATTTATCGCCTCCGACGCTGACGTTGAGCTCGAGGAGCCGCGTGCCACAACGAGGCCCGACAGCGCATTGGTGAAGGAGCTGTTTTTGTTTCTGGGATTGAAGCTGAAGCTTCTGCCTCCTTTGTCGTCACAGGCTCAACTTCTTCCACGACGTCGCGGATTTCCGGGTGCTCGCTTGCGGAGGCGACGGCACCGTGGGCTGGATCCTCGACTGTATAGGTACGCAAACACACACCGTCTCGGGTGAAACCGCAAACAAACAAGGGGCCAAAGTGCAAAAAGGTCTCAGGGACTGTTCAACCGACCCGATACGAGTGATCTGTTCCTCTTTGCATGCAGATAAAGCCAACTTCGCCAGGCACCCGCCGGTGGCCATCCTCCCTCTGGGAACAGGGAACGACCTGGCGCGCTGCTTACGCTGGGGAGGAGGTGAGCCCCTCTGCGTGTGTGTGTGTGTGTGTGTGTGTGTGTGTGTGTGTGTGTGTGTGTGTGTGGGGGGGTTCTTTTGTTTAACCCACGTCTACATCAAGTTTAGGAAACTTAAAAAGTAAAACAAAAGCAAGGCGGCTTCTTTCGCTGAAGATTTTACATGAAACCGCAATGAGGCAAAGAGCTGCTAAAGAAGACAAAACATCTCTAGCTGTTCTCTAGATACTTCAGGGAAAGGTAGGAGATACCAGATGATGTGTAAAGGCTGTTCTTGGTCCATTAAAGAAAGAGCAGGCGGAAAATGGGCATTTGATTGACTTGGTGGAAGTCAGAACACTTCGTTCTGACGTTTCGAGAAGACTCTCGGTTGCACACGAGTCCGGGCAGTCGGGAAATGAAAGATTGGGGAAGAGGAAAGTGTGAGCTGTTATGAGTCAAATTAAAAACCGTTAATATGCAAAGCACCATTGATTTGTTGCAGCGCTTTGGGCCAGTAATTAGAAAGGCTTGATTGTTGCTGCTTGGAGGACCAGCAGAGCACTTATGAAGGCTTATGAATGACTTTTTGTCAACAAGCAGCCAGTTTCAAGTGTAAGGGGGGGGGAGAGGGGGGGGGGTTTGGGGACTTGTTCAATAGATCATCTTTTGCAGAAGTAAACATTGAAGTATGAGCCGGAGTCTCTGCAGCCTTTGTTAATGGCGTGACTCTGGAGGCCTTACTGGTCCGGCACTTTAGTCCGGACTGAGAAATGTGGCCTAAATCGCCATGAAAAAAAGGATTTTGAAATATCTGGATAATAGTCAGTGGGAGAAGAACATTTGGTACAGACCTCCTGGGTGAATTGTCCTCACTTTAGTGATTCCCCGAAGCGCCACCAGCGGGTCAAACGTCTCACTTCCTGCTGCGAAATATCTCAACATCCGTTAAATGTTCTGCCGCTCACGTTCCCCAGAGGATGAACCTCCCGTTAGAGACATTCATGGCCTCTGCGTGAATTATCTTGACAGCTTGTCAAATGGGACGCCTCAACAATTAAATTCACGTTCGCCCTTTGTTGCTTTCTTATTGGGAAATGTTTTTCGTTAAACGGCACAAAGCGCCGATTGGTCGGCGATCGTCGCGCTGGAGATGATGTCACGGCAGTTTGCCGTCGCTACGGTGATCAGCTGGGAGTTCAACAGTCCACAGCGAGGCCTCAGTCCTGTCAGACGCAGAGGAGTTTGTTGTGGAAAAGTTCACGGCCGAAACAAGAGTGTGTCGCGTCTCACGTTGTCGTCTTTTGTCTTGAGACTCGTCCCAACTCTTCGAGTGAGGGGGCTCCCCGGGGTGCTGTGGTGCCCGCGGGACGTTCCGGCTCGGGAGGTGGGGAGGTCGCTATGGAGAGGCCGCCTGATCAGCCTCAACCCATATAATCCACCCTTCCACTAGTTTGATGGAGGGCTTTAAATAAAGATTGGTTTGAAATAAATAGTGAAGGAGTTCTGAATAAATAATTTATTTAATATGTATTTCAAAAGTACATCAAGATCCCCCTCTCCCCCCCCCCCTTCCTGATGCAATTTTCTATTATATAAACACCATGTCCTTGGTTTAAATAGCACGGCATTTGTTTCAAAAGAGCTAAAGTCAAACTTCTCTTTCTTCAATTGAGCAACGATCTGTGAGGCCGCCCTTCATGCTCATTCCCCCAAACTGCAAAAGAGTATTGCCTAAAAATATGAATACACGCTCAAGCCGCAGCATCTCCCTCGAGTGAAGCCACGCGCCGATGTCCGGCTGCCTGAAGACAGGAGTTTGCATCACGCCCGTTGTTTCCCCGGCGCCTTTGACTGTTGCACGTTCTCCGCAGGCTACGAGGGCGGCAGCCTGCTGAAGTTCCTCCGGGACATCGAGCACAGCAACGAGGTGGTGCTCGACCGCTGGAACATCGCCATCGTCCCCGACGACAAGGAGGAGAAGGGAGACCCCGTCCCCTACAGCATCGTCAACAACTACTTCTCCATCGGAGTGGTGAGGAAACTGATGCAGTCACTGCGTGTGACTGATTGCGTCATCTATTTCCTGCGCACATGGTGGATGCCACTTGAGGGGGGGGAAACACACATGTTTTTCTACATGTACCTCTTACAGAACCCGAAAAGGCTAATTCTTGTACAACCGTGACATTTTGAAAAGCAAAATAATAACCACCCATTCACCGAAATGAAGTGCTTTGATGAATACGAATTCTTTTGCTCCGTGCGTCATGGTCTGTACAAGAAAACGGAGGAAATAAATAAGAGGCTATTGATACAGATGATTCAAATAGAGGCCGGTTATCCTCGTACAATTACACATAGTTCCTCTATATTCACAAAGAAGCATTAGAATGTTAATTGGAGCCAGGTGCATGTATATGAGACCAGGACTAATTTAACACATAATATGCTAAATGACATTTACGACATGTCGAAACCTTTCCCCGAACCTGTGTGACTGCACTGCAACAGCAACAACACGGTGAGAGAGATTACCTGGCCTTTGTGGACATGAGCAATTAGCAGATTCATCAGTGAGTTTCTGTTTCCCCCCCAGGCCGGGTACCCTCTTTTAATTGGAGGGAGGAAACATGCTGCCAAGTCCCAGTTGCTTAGCAACCTCTTTACCTTATCCTGATGGAGAAACGTCTCCGTCTAAAAGCTCAGGGACGTTTCTTTAGAGAGGGGACAAAAACAAGGTCTCTGTGAAGTTCTCACCGAGCTGCTGATTTAGGCTTCAGCGCATGTGTGATAAAACAGACTGAAACCTCACTGATTTGGGTTTCATAAGAATGAGGTACTACGAGTCCCTCCGTCATGCGCTTACAGACGCACAGCAAATAACTGAATGAAACGGTTGCCACGCAAAAGCTTAAGTTTCGGGCGGACGCGTCCATCAACCTCGACCTCCTTCTGATGACTTAAAAATATAGATCTAAAAAAGAAAAAACACACACAACCCGGTAGAATTCCATAACCGCTCCATTAAAAGTGAAACCGACGACACAAAAAAAAACAGGAGCACACTGTGTATTTCTATTGGAGCGGCCAGATGACTTGTTCTGGGTTTTCTTTTGTCCAGCACAACAAAGCTGATGATCAAAAAGTACGTGTCACTGTGAATAAGCAGAAGTGACACAAGAGTGTAGAAGACATATGTGCGCGAGCAGGAATACAATTTCTTTTTGGCAAGAAGAGAATGAATCACGGGGATGTTGTATAACTGCCCCCCTCCCCGCTATCTGCATATGTGCCACAATATCACACCAGTAAGCCAACGGCACTCTAAGGCGTCGCTGCCATATGTACATTTGCACTTGGTTGTCATTTGTAATGTGATAACGTGTAAAGTAAATGTAATTGTTGCTACTTGGCAGTAATGAAACCGCTGTTTAGTTAAAACGTTAAAGAGACTTGAGCTCTAATGGATTTATTGAATCCATTTCCATCCTCATAATGTATTTTAAAAGTATTTGTTTTTTCAGAAAACCTCCCCAACAACATTCGGATCTGTTGTTAAAAATAGTCCATGGTCATTTTTAAAGATTTACATCGTCAGTGGGGACGGATATTCTTGGGGACTCACAGAAAATATCACTTAAGTAAGTATATAAATAGAATATCTTTCAATGTAAAGGTCGTCCACGTGGACCATCGGCTGCTTTTGTCGGATTCTGAAAACTCGCCAGCGTTTCACGGCCACTAAACAAAGCGACAGATCGCTGTGCCCCCCCTGTCCCCCCCCATCCCGGAGCCCCCCGGGACAGATGGCCGGGTATCTGGGAGCACACGACACCTGAGCAGACCCACCTCTGCCTCACACCAGCGAGGCAGCCACCAGCAACCCTCAGAATCTGCTTTGCGAGCCACACAGGGTTTGCGTTTCGTGTCGTCCCGATCGCGGTGCCGCGCTGCTCGGGGGTTTGGTTGCCGTGGAGACGGGAGGCTGGCAAGGCCGAGTCTGAAAGCTCGCGCAGTCATCTGTCCTTCATCTCGCTGACTTAATTGTGGATGACGTGGTGTGGAGCGTGTAGTTGGCTCAGCCAAGGCACTCGGGACTGTAAATGATTTACAGTCCCACAGTAGTCACGTATTAGTCTCTTCTGATCAAATCAGAGGAGACTATTATGTGACTTCTGCTTCAATTTGTTCCTATATTTTAGATCAAATACGACTGTATGGATCCCCGGGGGCAGAGACGAGTTTGTAAATATTTGTATTCTTGGTAAAAAGCTTGAAACGTACCTAAAGTTGTTTGTGTTGTCGACAGGGGACGAGGGTTTAACAACTGGCCACCAACCCAAACCATGAAAAAGCAGACAAATAGACTGTCCACGAGAAATGGACGTATCCCCCCTGATGTCACCCATGTGTTTCTTGACTGTCGACGCTTTCTCCGGCGCCATCTAGGCTCTGTTTGGAATACGGGGGAGACACTTCCGTATCGTCTTTAATGGGCAGAACCGGCGGCGCTTCGTGAAGCGGGCCGGAATTGAAACGTGTTCCCATCGGTTTCCTGAGGATGTGTTTCTGTAATGGCCTTCATGCTGACGCTACTGGGTCAGCCTTTGTGCTACAGGGTTAGCTTGCTTTGTAGTGGTAACGTAGTATTACCACCACTCATGGTCCCTTTTGAGATGGTACAGTACCAACCTACCTAATAGGACCTTTCTGACGAATGAATATGCATAATAAACAAACACTCTACAAGAACCAGCCGTTTAGTTCCTGCGGCGCTTTCACTTGACCTGCAGCCTGGAAAGAATCTTGTGAGAGGAATCTGAGAGAAGGAAATCGCACCATGTCAGCAGCCATTAAAGACGCCGCCTCATGTTGCAGCGAGGAAGCTGATCCCTCGGCAGCAGGCGTCTCCGTGCAGGAGCTCCTGTGGAAGGGTGCGCAGGTGTAAGAGTGTACACGTCGTGGTTGCAAGATGATTCCCGGTGTTAATTCCTAACGTGCACCACAATCCCTGACTTTGGAGGGTGAAGATGCTCCCGTGCCTCTTCCGATGGACATATGTGTCGCGATTGGCAGAAGCTGCTCCAGGACGACTGACACCTCGCCCAGTTCACAGCATGCCCTGCTTCAAGGTCTATTGGACTAAATGCAGCAGCATTTACTAAATGAACATCATGCTTTATTGGAGAAGATTTGAAACCAGCAATAAATGTCCACCATGTTTACTGAAGGTAATGAAGTGGGAGGAAGACTCATTTTCTCATCTGAGGCTTCTTTTAGCATCCAGAGAAAAGCTTTAGAATTTCATGTCAATTTAGCAGAGCGTGTGAGTTTGTTCAGGAGTGTGTGTGCGTGCGTGTGTGTGTGTGTGTGTGTGTGCGTGTGTGTGTGTGTGCGCGCAAGGGAAAGAGACGTAGCGCTGGCACAGACTGAAGGTCAGTGGAAGTATCAGTGACAGGAAGTGATGGCCTGCCAGGTTCAGGCCAGGTTACCCCGCTGATGAATGACCGTGCCGACTGACACCTGGCTGGTCTTAAAGACGGGAGGAACGGCGCACAAACACACAAAGGCGCACAAGCACATTCACAAACACCTGGACTGGTCTTGAAAGCCCCTAAAAACTCTGCTTCAGAGCAATAGTGTGTCTCTGTAGAGCCTTTTCTGCCTAAACAATGACGGCATACGTGAGTGTGAGCTGCTCTTCAAACTGTACGAGGGCATCAACACCTGAACAAATCGACTCTGCGATGGAGGCACTTTAACGTTGCAAAAGATGTAACTCTTAATCGGCTTCAGTACAAATGTTTTTGAACACAAAAACACACATCGCCTCCGAAGGTGATCAATTGGTTGTGAAAGTTTTGAGATGCCTCAGGTTGGGATGATTCTCGTGAGTAAAGACCTCGCTCCATCCAAGAATATGTTATACTATAAGCAATCAAATATCCAATGCAAGCCTGCATCTGCCAGAAAAAGACCGAAAACCATTGGAAAATGTCATCATAATAAAGACTAACAAGTCCAAATTATAAAGTGATTTGTCTCCATGAGACAAAGAAAAAATACAGATATTTTTTCATGTATGTTACTTCCCAGTGTGAGAGCCATTGGACACGAGAGATTAGAGGCTGCTTGTGACATTTCTCTGACATTAAGCTGCCCGAGGCCCTGACCAGAGGCCGGGGGGGCTCACTCTGTTTCTCTGCGCCCGGGTGACATTTTCCAGCCAGTGTTTTTTTTTTTACTGTTATTGTTTTTTCTGTTGATTTCCCCTTCCTACTTTTCACAGCAAACCCCTCTTGGCCGCACCGCCACCGCCAACATGCTCACCATGTGCAAAACCTCCAACGGCGAGATCAAAACAACCTTCATCACACAGGCGACGGCGAAATGTCACATTCTGTTACAGCCGGACTTCATCGGGGAGCTCTCCGACGTCGTGCTGGTCTCTCGTGTGTCTGGCAAGGCGGTGCACCTGCGCCGTCTCCTCACTCCTCTGGTTCCAGTATCAAATGATCCGCCAATTAAAGCAGCAGATGGCGCTCTATTTTAGGACGGGCCGCATCAGCCGCCGCCGCCGTCTGACCGAAGGACCGTCTCGGCCAAGGCGGATGGTTGGGGAGGTTGACAAGCAGCGGATGGGTGTAATTGCTCCTTTCCCGCCTGCCTTGTCACAATCGCAATTGTCGGGATCTCCGACCCCCCCACCCAAGTTGGTTGATGAGAAGGATCGCAACACGTTGAGCAATTAAAGTCAAAAAGTTTATTTATTTATTTAGAAGAGAAAAAGATTACATGAGCAAATCTGGCTCTAACTATTGCTTATAAGCAGGAGGTCGAACACACGAGCCTGTATCTCAGCGCTCGGTGTAAATGGCGTCTCCGAGCAGTAAAAACGCTGAGTCTTTATACACATGTGAAGGCCGTCCTCAGTGCCAGTTACGAGAAGCTGCAAACCAGGTTGAGATAAGAACCCAGGTAACACAGCTCAACGTGATCTCAAAAACCTGTTCGTAAAAATGTATACAAAAATCTTGAACATACAAATTCGTAACAATACATACGAACTGGCGGTGGTTAACCACGCCCCTTGAGTGAACAACATGGCAGACCATGTCGGCTTCTTGAGTGGACGTCTCTCCGCCATGTTGGATTTTTTGAGGGGGTTAGGGTTAGTATTCTATTCTTACAAGTTAACATTGATTTCTCGTTAAAAATGCAATCATAACACGTTTATTTTACATCGTTAGACTTCACGAAGTGTGTTTACGGGGCGCAGGTCCCCATTCACTTTGAATAGGGTGACGTCATCAGTTGCAGTCCGTATTTATTTCGTATGTATCACTACGAAATTTGGATGTTCAAGATTTTCGTATACATTTTTACGAACAGGTTTTGGCGATCAGGCTGCACAGCTGCATATGGAAACCTTAAATTTTTCTGCTTTTGCACATCACAGTCAAATACAGACACTAGAGACACGGGTTTAGCACAAGACAGATGTTACGACATATTTTACCATTACATGCATCTCACACTCTCCTCGCTGCGCTGAAACACCTGCACAGGCAGCCGGGGACGAACGTGTGCGCACGATGCGCCATCCTGTGTAAATATTAGAGCTGTCAACATAAACGCGTTTATCGGTGCGATTAATGTGGCCGAGATTAATACGACAAAATATTTTAACGTAGCTGGCGCACCTTAGTTTACTTCCGGTTAAACCGGAAGTTGACCGGATAAACGAAACGGCCGCTAGCTGCAGCCGGTTACATCGGAGAAAACGAGACAGAAGCTGAAGACGGAGAGAACTTTTGCATTGGATGTAAAACAAAGAGAGGCGCGACATACAGCGGAGATGTAGAGGAATTACTCGTGTCAAACAGAAGGGGGGTGAGTGTCAAACGGACCAGTTAAAGCACCGTATGCTAAGCTAGCTGCTAGGCTAAGCTAGCTGGAAGGGTCGCTAGTTCAACATGTTCCACCCGGTGGAATTCTGCCTCCAAGATGATCAAATGTGTGTAGTTTTGTGTTAAAAATAACAATTTACAATTAAACAGTGTCTAAAATACACATTTTATAAGGTGATTACTCATTACTTTATTTCATTAAGATAAACAAACATTCATTAAAAACAACATCGTAACAACCACAGCATTCATTAATCGCCATTAATCTGTATTAATTAATTTCATAATGTAGAATTAGTTGTTGTTTTTTAATCTTTTGACAGCCCTAGTAAACCTTACTGATCCACATCACAGACATGCGTTTAACAGGAATGTGAAATAAAGTGCAAGTCTGATCATATCAGCGGGTTTGTGGCCTGTGTTGACAGTAACGGTGTAAGAAATATTAATGTGTTAATCGTTGATCAGGTAAGATCAATTAAGCATATTATTTTTATTTATGAATTCTCGAGCACTTTGAGATATATAAACAATCAGCTGTGTTTATTACCAAAGGGATTATCTTCTATTGTGGCAGTTGTTGGTGGTGTGTTTCAGGCGTCTGCTCGGTGGCGGCGGCTCGGGTCATGTGTCTTGTCTCGGTTAAGCGCTTTAATCAGAACCAGATGGTGTCATTATACAGCCCTCTGCTCTGTCTTCATCCGCTAACTTCATTACTGGCTCCACCCTCACGGCGACACTTCCCATCCACCATGACTCCATAACATGAGCCACATGTACATCCACGTCCGCTGCATCGCTTCCTCTGACATATCGTGGACATGATCTATGAGAGCATGCGTCTTGAACTTATTTCACGGACGCAGTGGCTGTTTTATCTGGGAGAGACGGATCACGTCCTCGGGCCCCAGTGCGGGAGAAGCGGCTCTGCACAACCTCACCGCGCGGCGTCCAGAAGGGGCTGCACGTTGGCTCTGGAAGGAGCTTTTGAATCCAAACGGTGGCACCTCTTGAACATCAGCCTTTTTATCGGGCATCTCGGCTCTGACTGAAAAGCGATGCACGCGTCGATGGGGAGCGCCGGCAGCGCGACTCCCCGGCGGTGTTCCTGTTTGTCCGCTGAGGTCGCACAGGGGCTGCGCTTGTGAGTGATCAGGGTGACGTTCACCTCTGCCCCCGAGGTCAAGGGTTAAACACATTGGGAGAGGATGGGCGGGTCCAACTTGTGACCTTTCGCGTAGCGCCGCTTTGTGCCATAAGTCGGAGGCATGATAGTCGAACCTGTAGCTACACGACAAAACAAAGGAGATGTGAAGGGTTTTTTCCGGCGTGCCGTATAATGTTGTCTCCTCTGTCTTCTCCCGCAGGATGCCTCCATCGCACGCCGCTTCCACCTGATGCGGGAAAAGCACCCTGAGAAGTTCAACAGCAGGTGAGAGGGAAACGTGCCCGCACTTCAAATCTTTCAAACCTTCCGCGCTCCAACGTTCCAGCCTCAGCGGCCAACAAAACCAACCGGTGACCTTTTAATGTGGAAACCCGATATCACGCCGAGCTGCGATCGTCAGACATCACTAACAGAACGGGAGCCGCCTGCATAGTGCGATCGATACATTGGCAGTGCCTCGTTCGCGTTAAAACGGGAAGTCCGACTGGGCCGAAGCCGTGGTCGCCGCAGTCTGGTCAGGTGAGGAAAACCATCGCTGTGAGCCGCATGAAGGCGGATCAAGATGGCGGCGACGTCAATGGAGGTTCAGGTCATTGGCCTCGCAGAGGAAGTATCCCTCGCTTCATAGACGCCTAATTGTTGCATAACGCCGGAGGCTGCCCCTATCTGACCGGTGAGAGTTCAGCAGAGAGAGAAGAAATGACCAGAGTACTAAATTCAACCACCGTTCATGCACGGACGGCCGTTCAATCGCCGATTAAAAGATGGCATTCTGAAATATAATCTGAGATAGATGCAAAAGTCGTAAATGAGTCGACCTGGTGCTCTTCCTGACATTGCTCCATATAATCGTGGCTCCTTTCCGACCCCCCCTCCCCTCTCACTCTGGACAGAACAAACAAAATATTGTTATCTGTGCCCCTTGTTCACCGGATTTGTTTGACCACACGAAAACTAAAAAATATATTGTCCGGACTCGTCTTTTAGAGTAAACAACCCTTCTGCCCCGCAGCCAAAGTCGTCCACAAATATGCAATGTTGCGGTTGGAAACACCAGCTTTGATGTCTGATGCTTTCGTTCCCAGCAGCCATTGCTGTGTCCACACGTCCCCGGGTGTGCACACTGTCCCCGCACACAGACGCTGTGGCCCTGAGGCCACTGTGTCGCTGCTGGTTGTCTATGCCCGAGGGTGAGGTGTGTGTTTGTGTGTGTGTGTGTAGTCCTCTCATGTCTCGGTGTCAGCAATGCAGCTGCATGCAGGTACCATCCGTACCAAGTTGAGCTCCAATCCCTCTGAAGGTTCGACTACACAATCAAAAAGTAGCCAGAAAAACCTCCTCAGTGTTAGAAAGGGGGGAGAGAAACAGGAGGGAGGGAAGGAGAGGGAAAAACACCAATAAACGCTGAGCGCGGTGCATCTTCCAGCACCACAAGCGGAGTTGAAATGTGAGATAAAAGACAGGTACCGCTCCTCTCTTGGGACTCTCTTACTGTCTTCCTTCATGTGGGGAGACATATTCGGCGTACAGAAGCTCAGAGGTGCACAGCTCTTCCTTCTGTGGTTCCGTTTCTATTCTGCTGCATCTCTGCGTGGGCCAGAATCAAACCACCCTTTTAATGTACCCCAGTTACAGTCGGTCAACGCTGCAGGTTGTTTGTTTTGTTCTCCTCCACCTCCCCCCTCCGGTGCTTTCACAGAGTGACAGACAGCTGATGGACAACTGCAACTGTTCTGTGGTGTGTGACGGATGCTTTTGCAGAGGGGGCTTCCGTCCGTTCTTGGCAGCGGGGTGGAATAGAAAAGGATTGAGAACGGAGGCCAAGCCGATTTCTCTTCTCTCCGGGGGGAGAGAGAAGGGGGGGGGGGGGGGCGACAGATGAGGAATCACCTTTGACCCGGTGAGAGAGGCCCGTAGCCACGTGTAGCACTTAGCTCGCTGCTTCATTGTCCTCCCTGCCACTCACACTCCGTCTGTGTGTGTGTGTGTGTGTGTGTGTGTGTGTGTGTGTGTGTGTCCGTGCGGTGCTTGTGTGTGTGTCTAACACACTCCCCCGCTCGTCGACGAGCACATACCCACCCCCCCTCAGTGTCGCCCTCCCCCTGTCGGGACGGAGGGGATGTGCGACTCCTCACACCTCAACCCACTTGCATCCAATGGCCAGACCTCCAGGAGCCCAAAGCCCAGGTGCTAATGACTCCTCATGGCGGGTACAATGCTGTCAGTGTGAGTGTGTGTGTGTGTTTGTGTGTGTGTGTGTATGTGTGTGAGTGTGTGTGTGCGAGTGTGAGTGTGAAGGAGAGAAGAAGAACTGTATTAATTTTAAGCAAAGTTTGAAAACTGTGTTAATTACAACTCATGATAATGAATTATAGCCCAACAATTTCAAAGCTAACTTAAACGGTATAGTTTATATAATTTATATATCAGTGTGTGTGTATATATATATATATACATATTGATGTTTTTGTACAGCACACAAAGTAAGAATAATAATGTGAATTCATGAACATGTTGAAGTACACTGCACATGAGTGTTTTCCTGCAGGGAGCTTGTAAATCATTCAGTCATCATCCCACCTGAAGAATAAGTCACCGACACCTGATTGGATTATTAGAAATCAGATACCGGCACGTTCTTGACCTCTGACCCCAGAACACTGCTGTCTTTGCGCTAATCTAGATGCAGGGTTATCGTGTGTTCACTCGCTGTAACCTTTTCCTGGCGGTTCTAGATCTGCTGTATGTAGTTACGGGATGTTCTTCCGAATCCATTGAAATGGTGCAAATACTTAATCCTCAGGTGGAACACAATTCCCTATCGTTTAAAATATTCCGCGATGACTAATTGTTTTTGAAGTATTTTCAATGTACTTTACTTTTGAAAATACAAAACACTTTGCTTTTGCAGTTGGGAATCAAAAATCTTGCAGTTTCTTCTGGACAAAGTGCGTCCTGTGTTGCCACCTTTTTTCCTTGACACTGACAGTTAAACGGTGCTGATGATTCAGGAGACCAGATTGATTGATTGAGTGATGTCAGTTTGTAGTGGAACCTGATTGGGCCACTAAACTTTAGCAAATAGATGAATACATCCAATGTCACGGGGCCGTGCCCAGACCGGAGGGAGGCATCACCATGACTACAGCGGTGGGGAGGGAGGCCGAACCCTCTGTAACAGCAATGCAAGACGGATGAGAGGGAGCGGGGGGGGGGGGGGGGTGGGGGGTTCATATAGTCACTGCCCACATTTGGGGAATAAAGGAGGATGCTTTCTCGCGGGGGGCCGAAGGGGGGGCCCCTGAAGCGAAAAATATCTGGGTACACGCGAAAGAACTTTTGAGCCAAAAGAGTGTTCTTAAACTCGGGGGTTCCCCTCAAACCAATGGGGATCTCTCCGTGTGACTCCAACAGGTCTTTGGGTTACAGTCTGAAAGCTATCTCTTCAAACCGACTGGATTCATTAAACGTGAATAGGAATAATAAGCTCTCCGCTTTGTTCGCCGCACAAGCTGAACAGTGGGACAAAAATGGGACAAAAACACGTCGTATTTTCGAAGATAACTTCCTTTTTGTTCCGGCATTTCACCGGTTGTGGTGCATAAACATGGGAATAATGGGGGGAAGGCTTATGGAAGTAGTCTGTCTCCCTGTGGCACTCTCCGTCCATGCGAGGGAGGAAAACTATGAGTTAATTGCATTTTTTTTACAGACGGTCTCTCAAGTGGAGGCGGCTTAATGAGGTTAGGCGGCTCGCCTCATTGAGAATCGCAACTGTTCCTAATTGTGATCTCAAATATGCTCATAATCCCCCGATTTGACAGCGGCGGAGGCTTCTGGGGAGGCATTAAGGTGAGAGAGAGAGAGAGCAAGGGACAGAAAGACAATTAGCAGTGAGAAAAACATGTGAACGAGCGCAGCGGCTTAAGACATTTAGGTTACGTTTCAAGTCCAACAAACACCGGTGAATTCTTTTCATGCTTTGTTAGTCCGCGGTTTGACTTCACTTTCAGGTTTGTCTACTGTGTCATTTTACGGTGCAGGTTGTGTCCTGTCCAAATGTTCTGGTCCGCCCACATATCACCGAGCGGTTGTGTCAATAGCCGATGTTGTCAGTGTCAGCAGCGTGTCCGCGTGCAGACGAACCCGCTGTCCTGTTATGGAGGGAGGTGTCATCGGGGTGAGACATCAGGAGCTCGTCCAGCGGGTCACCTCTGCTCAGCCAGCCCCGAGGGTTCAACCCCCATCCCACAGCCTCCAACCGGGCCACGTTTCACCCCCAGCGTCCTCTCCAGAGGCCACGGTGACCTTTTGAACCCCCGGGCCCCCCCGAGGCACTAAAGCGATCGGCGCTTCACTTTAAGGCCCCCCCCGGGGCGACGGGTGGAGCTTTGACTTCCACAAAGCCGCCGCCAGCTAGTCCCGAAACTGTCCGATTTCAAAAACGCGGGCCGGCTCCACCTTGCGTCCGGATGCCCCCGAAGGCTCCCAGCAGGGAGGACATTTGTGTTCGACAAAAACACGCCTGTGTTCTGCTTTCTCCTCAGAATGAAGAACAAGCTCTGGTACTTTGAGTTCGGCACCACCGAGACCATATCGGCCACCTGCAAGAAGCTTAACGAATGCATAGAAGTGGAGGTGAGTCGGATCGCAGCTGTCATCGCTGAGAAAAGTGAGCGAGAGAGAAAATCTACAAACACCCGACGATAAACTGTTTGATCGAAATAAACAAGGCTTCAAACATCTTGTGTTCGCTGCACGTTAACGAGTTCACTTTTCTGACAGACTTTCAGACGCCGTTATTCTCTTATGTGTCGCAAAGATTTAACAAAGTGATTGTCTTGTATTAACGAGGCGAGCTATTCATAGCACAGCGTCAAATTAATGCTCCATGAAGTCACTGATTGCCTCATTCTGTCACCCGGGTGCTTATATGCACGTACCGTTGGGAGGGAAATGCAAACAAGCTGCTTCCATCTCAAAGGGTTCCAGCCCCACTGTTTCCATATGTTTCATTTATTTTAAAGACCCCAATGTGACCATTTGACTGCGTGAAGACGACCCGCTCCGTATAAGAGTCTTAGTTTCAGATGATTATAGGAAGACATGGATGAATGAATATTATGACCGTTTGTGCCAGTAGCGGCCACTGCTAGTTAGCGTGAGCCCCCTTACACGACTTACATGAAAAACCAATCTGACGTGTATTTTTACTTCTGTCCAATCCGCTTACACAGAGGGTGTGGGGCTTATGTCCTGGGGGGGGGCAATCCAATTTTTTGTCTTTCCCTTCTTGTCACGACATCTATCGTTACCTACAGCGAAAAAACATGTTTTTTTGTGGTTTTACGACATTTTAATATTTTATGTTATTTTATTGTAAGGCCCAGGCATAATATGCCCTCAAAATAAGACGGTCTCTTTCATTGGATTATTCATTTCCGACTACAGACCACTGCAGCGTCCTTCATCGAGCAGGTACACCTGTATTCCACGGCTGCTTTGACTCACTTCATCATTTATTCATGCCGAGTCACAGCGAGGTGTTGGTGACACCCTCTGCCGTGTGTGATTCAGATGAGGCCCAATATACTTCAGAGTTTTACCCAGACTGTCAAATGGGGTTACTACTATAGCATATTTCACTGCTGTCACTCGCACACTTTGCTGCTGCCCGCCGACTGCATCCAGACAAAATGCATCCAAAGGTCTTAAACGAGCCACTGGTGTGCAAAGAGGCCGCAGGCACGGAAGTCCATCTCGCTCCATGATGCAGCGAATCATAATCTGATACCCATTAGCATCCACGTTGGCGTTAGCCCATGAGCATCCACGTTGGCGTTAGCCCATGAGCATCCACGTTGGCGTTAGCCCATGAGCATCCACGTTGGCGTTAGCCCATGAGCATCCACGTTGGCGTTAGCCCATGAGCATCCACGTTGGCGTTAGCCCATGAGCATCCACGCTGGCGTTAGCCCATGAGCATCCACGTTGGCGTTAGCCCATGAGCATCCACGTTGGCGTTAGCCCATGAGCATCCACGTTGGCGTTAGCCCATGAGCATCCACGTTGGCGTTAGCCCATGAGCATCCACGTTGGCGTTAGCCCATGAGCATCCACGTTGGCGTTAGCCCATGAGCATCCACGTTGGCGTTAGCCCATGAGCATCCACGTTGGCGTTAGCCCATGAGCATCCACGTTGGCGTTAGCCCATGAGCATCCACGTTGGCGTTAGCCCATGAGCATCCACGTTGGCGTTAGCCCATGAGCATCCACGTTGGCGTTAGCCCATGAGCATCCACGTTGACGTTAGCCCATGAGCATCCACGTTGGCGTTAGCCCATGAGCATCCACGTTGGCGTTAGCCCATGAGCATCCACGTTGGCGTTAGCCTATGAGCATCCACGTTGGCGTTAGCCCATTAGCATCCACGTTGGCGTTAGCCCATTAGCATCCACGTTGACGTTAGCCCATTAGCATCCACGTTGGCGTTAGACAGAGACCTGTTCGTCACCTTTGACAAAGACTGTGGGAATGACGGCTGCACGCGTCTTTTCAAGCTCAATGTAAAAACTTAAGCGTGTGTTTCATAATTCCCCCTCCAGTGCGACGGGATCATCGTGGACCTCAGCAACACCTCCTTGGAGGGCATCGCCGTGCTCAACATTCCCAGCATGCACGGCGGCTCTCACCTGTGGGGCGAGTCGAAAAAGAGGAGGAACTACAACCGCATGAGCAAGAAGGCCCCGGAGAGGGCGCCGGCCGGCACCGTCACGGACGCCAAAGAGCTCAAGTTCTGCATGCAAGGTGAGTCCGAGCGGGTTTCATCAGGTAGATTATAACCAAACGGTGCGAGTGGTCAGCGGTCACCATCTCACTGCCCGGTGTCCGACCCCGAGGCTTGATTGTTTGTACCAAAAAAGCACAAGAAATTATTAGCTTCTTTTCATTTGACTGCGCAGCAATAATTGACTATAAGCTTAACTTTGTACATTTGGAAATGATTATAGGATCTTGATAATTAGTGGTTGTTTTTCTCTCATTTGTAGCTGCGTCAGTATTTATTTATGTAATCAATTTTATTTGACTTGCTTGTGCCGATTTCTCCGTGAGGTGTTGAATGTTTTTCATCGAAACACCTTCCAGAATTCTCCTTTTTTCATAATATTTATCTACTCTCCACCTCAATGACGCGAGGCTGCTGGTTGAGTTTGCATTCGATGTCCTCGATAATTGAAGAACAAGCCACTCCGTGCTCTCACCGAGGCTTTTACTTCACTTTGTTACTCCGCTGAGTGACCTAAACCTTGTTTCCATGGCGACGTCAGGCCCACCAAGTGAAGATCAGAGGAGAGGAAGAAAGACTTTAGTGAAACAAACTACGGTGTGCGAGGGAAGGAACAGCGGTGACTGGTATGACTCACCTTTGTGGTGTTGTTAGCTAAATAAACTTTGTGCAGATGTAGTCTTTGCACTGTGATTTTCAAAGTGTAGACAGTGTGGCCCTTCGAGGCTAAAAGAAGATGTGTCCGCTGGTGAAAGTATGTATGTTGAATGTATGGGAGTTTGATCATCTTAAGGGTTAAAAACATTAGTTTTGCACATGAAGTTGAGCTCAGGAGCCCGACTAAGTCCTTGAAACCACTTACATAATCCTCTGTGCCTGAAAGGAGCCGGATTACTTTGGTTTACTTCTTGAAACTTGAAAACTCCTGCTTGGGACGTGGAATTTGCTAAAATTTGGGTCCGTTTTAAGCCGTAGCATCCTTTTCACAACACAAACTGCCCACGAGGTCACCTTTGGGTCCTCCTTTGGCCCTGCAGGATCTGACCATAATAAGCATGATTTATATGCTTTGTAGCGACAGCGTAGACGCCCGTGACGTACACAGCAGACGCACGGGTGCGGGCGAGATCATTTGCAGCCATTAGCTCAGTCCACGTTGTGAGTCTTCAGCTTGCTTTTAACTCTCAACCCAAATCCGGGCCCGTAATCCCAAAGTAGCCTCTTAGAGAAGTGACGACCAACAAACTGTCCTCACTTGAAGGGATTTCCCTTATCTCATTACGCGAAAGCGACCAGGAAAAGAGATAAACCCCCTTTCCGTGTAACTCAATCCAAGCGCTTTTGGGAAAAGACTTGATTTGACTTTGAGGAAACGTTTGGGGGGTCAATCAATTCACGGGTAGACAAATGTTGACAACAGATGAATCGTTTCAATCACTCATTATTAAAAATGCAGACCGTCACAAAGCGGTTTGTCGGCCCGACGCTTCAGATTATGGGACTCGACGTGTCCGTGGTTAACAGAGGAGGATGTGCAGTTAATTATCTTCTGAAGGAATGTCCTCACACACTCGAAAGTAATTGCATCAAAATGACACCGTGATAAGAAATAAGAAGCCAATTAAAACCAATTGTGTGTGTTCTTTATGGACCGATGATGCATTGTTTAGAATCATTCATTCTTATGTATCTACGTTTTCTTAAATCAGTCAAATCAGTCTTAAATCAAAAGAGTAGCGAGCAAAAAAAAATGTTATTGTAGAGAGGATGTTAAGGTCGTCAATAATTATTAAATGTTTTATACGTTTACTTACGATCTTTGCATTTTTATTGGATTGCATTGTAATTTATAGCTATTTATATTTACATTACATACAATGTTAGAAAATAAAGAAATGCCCTGACCTGTGAATTTCACTTGGCAGCCTTTGCATACGCGTTTAACAGTGCAAATAATTACACAATGTCAATATAAACAGTTTCAGGGACAGCGTCAGTAAAACATGTAAACATTCGTGTGTGAATTCATCCACTTTGTGCGTGCTGGATCGTGTGCGATGGAATCTTTTTGTGCTGCAGAGTTTTCCCTCAGGATCTAACCTTTATCACATTAGCTTCTCCTGCTAATGCTGTTTGGAAATAGAGCTCCGAGTGCTCTAGTTTCAGAGAGGTATGCGCTATTGTGCCTCCAGGTCTCCGTACGTGTGTGTCTGTGCGTGTCTGTGCGTGCCTGCATGTTTATCATACCACTAATTGTTTATGGCAGTTGCTTTCTCTGGCGCAATAAACTAAAGCTTTTAAATCTGTTTGCTGCAGTTAATGCAATCAGCCAGGGTTACGCGGAGTGACTGAAAGACGCCCGCGGCGCTTCTGACCTCAGTGATGAAACCGCGGCCCTCTGAGTCACTGTGGGCTCTGGTTCTTGTTCTGCATGGGCAGAGACGTGTGATGGCAACACAGCGCGCTTCGCTGAAACTGAAACATAGTGTCTGTTGTCCGGATCGAGCGGCATCGTTCGGGAACACCCAGAGATCCGATCGGAGGTCAGGTAGCGCGCTTGGCCTTGAGGACGGGCGGCGTGTCCCCACACGAGGCGCTTTGTCTCCTCGTTGTTATCAAGCGATACAATAAGGACCAAGTCGAATTTGATCACTGAGAATAATTTGTCCATATAAGTTTTTTTTTTTTAGTTTTTTTTACCTGAACTTCTTGATAACCAAAAATCAAGCTGTGAGCTCCTCATCCTTCATCCGCCGAGGTGTAAGTTACTCTCCCTAAATGGGTAAAGAAAAGTAGTCTCCAGATGTGCCGCGGTGGAGAGAAAGAGGCGACCCGTCTGAGCCTTTTCGAGTGAAGTGGGTTCAAAAGTGCGTCCTTGTCAGCCGGATGAAGACGGATCACAGCTGCCGCCGACAGGAACAGGATTCACGTACGAGGAGCCGCGCTCCTCCTCAACTTTTATCTCTGCGCCATCTCTGCCCTCGCCTGTTTATTTCCTCCCTGCTCCCAGATCAGATTTCCTCAATTTCCTGCAGTGGATTGAGCTGGAAAGGACGCACATAAATAAAGTGGGTGCGGCCCGGTTCGAGCCCGGCGTCCCGCCAGGTCGAACCGGGCCGCACAAGTGCATGTGCAGCCTGAGATGTTCACGCTACATTTACTAAACCCGGCAGCGCTCGGTTACTTCAGTAGTTATGGGATGTTACGTTTTCTGTCACACAGCAACAGTGTGACAGTGGTGGAGAGTAAATAGGTACTTTTACTCAAGTACAACTCTCATTCTTTTACTTGACTACTTCCATCCTTCACTTTACTTCGTTACAAGTGAACATAGTCACCGAGTGGTTGGTCGGCTACGGTTTTTGAGTCAGAAGTGACCATACTTGGACAAGGGTTGAGGCCTGATAGCTTATTAGAGCATCAGAGCTAGTTAATGCTAATTCTTGCTAGTAAAAGTTTAGTTATTCTAGTTTATTTTAGTACAACTCAACAATACATTATTGTGTCCTGTTGGCCTTAAGGATGCTCTACTTTATCATCCATTTTATTTAAAACAGGATCATAATCTACTAAATTTACTAAAGGTAAAGTGGGTAATTAAGTAACATTACGCTGGATTTAAGAATATTTAATATTAGATTGACACAAACTTATGTTCACAATGTTTACTGGTAATAAATCAACAAAGAAGTAGAGTGCATTTTCTCATTGACTTCTAAGTAATTAAACTCTTTATGTGTGAGTAAACCCACCTTTGTCCCCATGTTAGTGTGTCTTGGGTACTTCCCTTCCTCAGCACGTGTGCCAACGGCTAAGTGGAAAGCAGGCAGTGTTTATACAGGCGATGGCGTCAGCGGTGACATCATCGGGTTAGAGCAGGTACCCGGGGGGGGGGGGGGGGGGAGAGTCTGTCCTAATGGGTGTCACCTGCACACCTGGTGCGACATAGCGCGGGTTGATTGACGGCGCTACAAAGGTTTAGAGGACATTGACTGAGTGCGTGCGATTGAGTAGATTAGGTTACTAGGTTATGTTTATTAACTTATGTTAAAGTGAACTAACTAGGTCTATTTGTATATTCGTTTATTGATACGTGTACCAGGGACCTTCCTTTCTAGCAAATAAAGACCCTTCTGATATCTGGACCACGCCTTGCTCATCTGCCTCCCACCAATTCCAGAAGTCTCCCGGTTCTGTCTTCCTCGCATTATGCAAACCAGAGGAGTCGCCCCCGGTGGTCATTAGAGGTAATGCAGCTTTCAGACAGAATAATGGTTATGGTGACGGTACCATACCTCCAAACAGTGGACTGTCCTTCTTCACCAACATGTAGTGTCTGTTTGTTACTTGCAAATAAATAATACGTCCCCAGGGTCAAATGAGCTACTGACGCCGGCACGGACCGCGTTCACGTCGCGCCTCGCCCCGCCATGACTCATTTGTTTTCTCTGCCTGTTTGTCCGGCTCTCTCCTCCCCCTCCTCTTCCACCCGTCACTACCTCCCCCCCCCCCTCCTCACCTTCCATCCAAGGTCCACGAACCACCAGCCCCGCCGCCCTCAGCGCTCACAGTCAAGCTGTGACACGGTGTCAAGAGGCTATATTGGGCCGATCGCGTACAGAAACTGTGTGTCGGGCGCTTCTCGCTCAACGGGGAGGAAAAACGAAACAAAACAAAAAAAAAACACACACGCTATAATTACTTTGATTCACCCCCACCGGTCTGTGTGGCTGGAAATAGCTCCTGCCGCTCTCAGTGGATGCTGGGAGAGCGGATGACCTCACGTTCACTCAAAGTTAATGAACGACAAATGATCCTAAAAAGAGGCCAATCGCTTCCAAACAGGAGACGGACAAGAGGACATTTCTTAAAGCGTCTTCGACAGCCGCCTCTTTCCCACGGCCGTTTTCCTTCTTTCCTCCCATCTGGATCAAGATTCTCATGATGATTTGGGTTCTTGAACTGAAATTTCACCATCTGTGTACTTACAGACCATGTAAGGACTCGGCGACCTGGTGTGTGTGTGTGTGTGTGTGTTCTCACAGTAACATTGTGTTCTTTGTCAAATGGCCAAGTGCTCTCCCCCGTACCTTTACCTCCGCTGGTGTTGGCGAGGTGAGCTGCAGTTCCTCTCGACCATCTGCCGTGACTCTGGCCACCCTGAGACAATAACAGGCCGGTCAGTGGGCGGAGGAAGGATACACAAACATGCCTGCTAATAATTATAGCCCAACACCTCATGCTGATGAACAACGAGAGCTGAATCGGCTCCTCTGGGGGGGGGGTTTATAATAATTCATCTTTCCGTTTCTAATTGAAGGCTCGTTATAAATAGCTCGTCACTCGATTGGGCAAGTCTGCAGATGTTCGATGCCTCTCTGCATGTCAATGGCTCTCATGAAAGGAAACCAGTAATAAACGCTGCTGACTGGGGGTTCGTCTCAGTGCAATAAAGCGCCTTTGTCGTTCACTGACATGTTCCTTTATTGCAATGACTGTGAGCACTAGTTTATTTCTTTTTGATTCCACCGCCACGCCTTTTGTAAAAATTCAAATCGGAGAAGTCGTTTTCCATTTAGCTGCAGCAGACAAATCAGTGCGATGAAGTTAAAGAAAAGTATGTAAATTAGACACGTAATTATATTTCTATTTTAGTTTTTAATCCGCAATAATGCGTTTGGAAAGATTCCCACTGCGCAGCGGAGAAGAACGGTGCCGCACAGCAGTGCCGATTCTCGCTGCCTGGCAAAAGCTCTGCCATCCCGTCCCAGAATGCACCGCGGCGGCGTTATGTAACAGGCCGCTCCAGTCTATTCTTAGCTCCACCTCACTGAGGAGCATCCGCGCCGGTCGGGATGTGATGAGGCGGGGATGGTCAGCGAGGTGGGAACCAGCCCAGCGGCCTCCTCTGCCATCGGGCTCTCGCGCCGGGACGCCGGCAGGACGCCGTGCCCTTCTTTGGTGTTGGGAGGAAGTAGAGGTTTACGGGTGGGCGTGCGAAGGAGGGGGATTTATTCATTTCACACTACAACAGGAAAAGGACATATGAATAGGAGGGTTTTAAAATCCTAAAATAGGACATGTCAACACTTTTTTTTTTTTTTTTTTTTCTTTTTTACGGCTTTCGCAGACCAAAAAAAAGACTCCATCTTTACATGCAGTTTTTCCTTTTTAATTCCCATCTGTCGTACGCAGCCATTGTCTCTAGTACCGCTGATCCCTAAGTCCCCAACGGTCCAGCGTTTCTCTTAGCGGATGCCCAATCCTATTATGATGGTTTCCTGGAAAGGCCTGCAGAGACGGGGGGGGGGCTCATGTGGTGCACATGGCTAAAGATGAGGCGTAGTTTCCGCTTTAGATGCAGGATGAGGAAGATGTACTAAGGGATCGGGGCTGACATTTAGGACACTCAGATCATGTCCACAGGGTTTTTGGGGGCAGTTCATTTCTTTAGTGAACACTATCATCTGTAGGTCTACTCCAGTGTTCTGTGTCTGTAGCTCTAAATAAATAAATGTTTTATTCTTGACAATCTGGGGAAAAAGCTTTAAAAAAGCATTTAGATATTTATGTTGAGACAAATACAGTCAAAGCTGCATTTTTCGTATTTAAACTACTAGGAGGCTCTCACGATGGTTTAGTCCGTCCCTGTGGACAACGGTGCGTGTTTCCAAGCGCCAGACTCCCATTATAAAAGCCGAGCCTCTCTTGCCTCCGAGGGGGGCACAGCAGGGGGGTCCAGGCCGGTGGGCTCTGGCTGTAATGTAGGTCATAAAGAGGCATCAGCAAAACTGAGACAGCAACTTTACCAATGGATGAAAGACGGGATTTCATGAGGTGGGCTGGTCCATAATCAGGGTTCGACCAGCTTGAAGTGATGAGGGAGAAAAGAAATGGACCGGGGGAAGCTTTTAGACCGCTAAAAGAAAGTCTGCAAGGCAAATGATCTATGCATCGAACTGGAGATTTACCGAAGGAGAGAGATGGAACGTGACCCGCCCAGAGAGGGAATATTAGGTTTACATTCCGCTGGTGTAACCGGTCGGCCTCAGCAACGTAAACCGTGTTCTATTCACTGCGGCCTTTTTTTCCGGTGGCACCAGGGTGAAAATATTACATAAAAAACTTCCACAAGATGCCTTTATTTGCCCTTTTGTAGAACAAGTGATCTATTTCAGCGTTTAGAAATGCAATCACCATAAACGTCTCATAGACGTCAAAGTCAAAGTACCTTTTGATACCAATATTTTCATGTTATGAATCAAAAGCTGCTGCAGTTTACTCCTCCTCTTAACGTCAGAGCGCTTCCTTCTTACTGGCGAAACTCGGGTGTGATTTCAAAATGTTTGTCCCTTACTCTGGCATTTTCTTTTGAATTGTCACCTGAAATATTTAAGTGCCGGTGACTTGTTCTCTCCTCTTTTGAAGCTTTATGCCACAAAGCTCCTAAATGCCGAAGCCAGAACAAGAACAAGCGGCCTGCAGATAGAACACACTGGTTAACCCGGAGATCATCCTGACTGATGTCAGGAACCGTTACGGAGCAGCAAAAACAAATTCTCTCAACTCTGTGTCACAATGTTTACCTTTCTTTTTTTTTTTTTTTGTAAATCCCTCCGAGGGTGAAGAGCAGTGAGTCAGTCATCGGGGCTTTTTTGCAGCACACGTTTCCTGAGCCAGAAACAGGAAAACGCCGTGGCCGCGTGGGGCGATTCCTGCCGTCGTTCACACTGAACGGGGCGCGTCTGGGTGGGGGGGGGTCGAGAGCCTCGGGGAGCGCTTCGAAGCCGACCCCTCGCGCCCCTCAAACTCTCTTTCTTGCATTGAAGAAGACTCCACCGGAGCCTTCGACGGGCTCGTGGCCTTTCCGCTATTTCCCCTCGGAGACGTGTAATGGCGACAAAGTGGTCACAATTGGGAAGCGATGGACGGCTGTTTCTGCTGCGTCTTTCTTTGACATTTCAAGACTAATGGAGGCAATGGGGAGAAACCCCGCTATGTCCACTCTCAGGCTACAGAAGAAGAGGTTCGACTGGATTCTCAGCCTTTTTGTTTGTGTGTCGAACCAGACCACAGCGGCCAATAATGTGAATGAAGACCATAAGAAGAGCAGATCTAGTCCATGTGGGCTCCTCCAGCCGCGTTCTTACGTTCTATGTTCGTCACGCGGTTACTTGCTGTCGATGAGATACCACCGACCCAGTTTCGTGAGATTAGATTCTGCCGAAGCTCCTCACTAATTGCCCCCCCGGCCGCAAAAAGACAAAACAGTTCTCGTGTCTCACCTGTCAGAACCTGCGCGGTGGCCGGGGGGGGCGAGCAAACACGTAAACTCCCAATTAGCTTTCTTACCAGCTAAAGGGTATTGAAAGTCGAGTGGCAAATTAGATCATCGCCGACCTGTAAGATCATGGCTGTAAATACGGACTAAGAGGCGTCGCCTCTTTCAAACACACAAAGGGGAATCGAAGGATTAAAAGATTACATGGAGGCTGTTAAAAGGTTTCACGGTGAACCGTTAATGTTCTCCGTCTAACACGGGGAACGTCCCCCTCTGACGCGCTGTACATTCAAGGGGCTGTAATCTGTATTTTTCATGATAATAATTTATTTAAAAACTGCAGCGTGAATACGACGTGACACTGGTTGCTCGTGGGGATGAAGCTACGGGGGAATTGTGAGCTGAACAAGCTACGGATGTTTTCGGTTTCGGCTCATTATTAACTTTTAGCTTTTAACTTAATAACTCGAGTCAAAGGTTGAGAAAATGGTTTCACCCGGGACATGAGCATCGCTATACTCTCCACACCGAATGAAAAAGAACGCTTCTGAATAAGGTTGATTTATTGTGTCTCTCTCCATCCAGACTTCAGTGACCAACTGGTGGAGGTGGTGGGCCTTGAAGGGGCGATAGAGATGGGACAGATCTACACTGGCCTGAAGAGCGCCGGACGCAGACTGGCTCAGTGTGCCAACGTCACCATCAGGTAAGACCCTCCTCATCCTCGCCCCCTCATCCTTTGATCTCTAATCTCCGTCTCCCCCTTTGTCTGCCTCGGCTCCCCTTCCCTCCCTCCGTCCTCCTTCTGGTCGAGCAACTGGAAGCTGTACTTTCTGCACGGAATGCATCCGTCTCCATTCGACGCAGGACGTGTTTGAAGTCTAAAATCCCTGCAGCATCCAGCATATAACATCAATTACATATTGTATAAATGCCCACTATACTGAGTGAGTTCACCCAATCACAGAACGGGACCTGTCTGTATGCACCATAGCTGGTTTTACAGTGCTGGACTCCAGTTAATGACTCTCTTATCCGACGTCACATGAACATTTAGTTACTGACGAATGTTTAAAGCTGATTTTCTTTTTGGATCCGACACTTTTTTGTTGTGGCCCAGCTGACCTCTACAGTGAGCCAATTACTGTACCGGAGGAGTGACTTTCACAAGTTGCGCTGCTTCGAATACTTTCCTGGAGCAGAATTAAAAGAGCATTCATCGCATTCATTCTCCCATGCTGTGTTTCTGCAGCGGGAGCGGCATGCGTCAAAGTCTTAAACCAACTTTGAGTGTGTGTGTGTGTGCATATACAGTGGGTCTGTGAGTTTAAAGAGCGGGGGCCAGTCTGGGAATGGCTCTCGTGGGAACAAAGGGTGCAGTGTTTGACCCCGTCCTGGGGCAGTGTGAACAGGCATCTCGCGCCTCAAAGGTGTGTGTGATCTGACCTTCACAACCGCCAGCCCCACCCTTCTATCTACTTCTATCTCTCTCTCTCTCTCTCTCTCCTGCCCCCCTCCCACCTCTCTGCCTCTCTCTTCATAGGACGTCCCGGCGGCTGCCGATGCAGATCGATGGCGAGCCCTGGATGCAGCCCCCCTGCACGGTGAGAGTCGAATGAGAACCATGGAAATTTATGCTACGATAGGGATTCTGTCAGGAGGCATTTCATCAGATCCAACGAGCCCCCCCGCCCCCCCCCGAGAGGCTCCATATTTAAGTATTTTCTCAGACACTCAGACTATATACTAATGTCCCCGATTTCCATAGCATGGCACCATATCGGACGGGGGAATCTATTAAGAACCCAGCGTGAAATATACACGTCGAGGGGATACAAAAATGAGCATTAATTATTGACGGTAGCTTGGCTCGTGCTGGTTTTCCCACACCGCCGTGGTGTAATTATCTCCGTCCAATCAGAGGACTGCAGTGAAGAATGAGCGTGCCGCGTCGACCGGTGGCCTGCTGTTCGGTGGAAGTGCAGCATAAGCATCTTTATGGGGGCGGGAGACACTGTTCCGTGGGTAATTGTCAGGGTCGGTTTTATGCACAAACTCTGCCAACTCACCATGTCCTTCTCTGTCTTCTTCTTACAGATCAGGATCACACACATGAACCAGGTCCCCATTCTACTGGGTCCGCCTCAGAAGACACCCTTCTTTTTCTTCAAGAAACGCAACCGCAGCCGCGACTAGGACACGTGCTTGCACATAAGAAACACACACCTACACAGTACGCATATACATGCACACACACACACACACACACACACACGTGTGCGGCATAGGGAGCTCCAGCAGAAGACTGGTACGCTGGAATGAAAGAGGTTCTCAGCATACAGTACAGACCTATTCCTGTGTAGCTATTGTCTTGTCCCCAAACCTCTGTGTGAGCCACGGATCCAAGTCTCTCAGCCCAAACAACCCCGCCCCAAACGTAACGAAAGCGATGGCGGGGAATAGAAGACGGTGGGTTTTCTGAGGAGAAAGAAAGGAGCTCCCAACAGCACTACAGTGAGGAAAGGAAAGGAGGTAAAAACAAATAAGTGAGAGCGGTGTGGCAGCAAACGCGGTTGTTTACAAGGCCGGTGGGTAAATATGGAGTAAGATCTGCCTCTCCGTTGAAACACCTGCATGAATAATGAAACAGCGGTTGCTTGTAGGAGCATGAACTCCGGGGGGGCCTCCCCACAGACTGTCTCGTCCATTATTGACTCATTGTGCTTGTGGGTTGGCGGCAGTGGGGCGGAACGGCGGCCTGGAATCGGTTGAAACATGCAGGTATTTTCTTTTGCGCCTTTTAGCATCACTGGCCTACAAAGAGATCCTTTAAACACACATTTACTCGCCGTGTGGACGATCTGGCGGTAGACTTCAAGCAGAGGCAAAATGCTGCAGGCCATCACTGTATGATTTCATTCCAGATTTTAAAGTTACTGCACTTTTAACCTGGTCGTGAAACAGACCCGGCGTCATATCGATGCCCCCATATGACCTACGTAAGCGAACGACACCATCAGCCAGAGGACTGGCTTCTTCTACGTTGTTATTCCTCTTTCCTTGCTGCTGGGGCCCGGGCCTCCCTGCAGGGTCCGCCGGCGGCGCCGCCGCCGTATATTGTTGTGGGACTGAACGAACTTCTCTAAGCAGCAACGACTGGCAGCGCAGCGGTGTACTAGCTCGTGCTGGCGGCGCCCGCCCCTGTCCCCGTACGCGTCCATTCGGCAGCATGGCCCGAGGATCGGCACTGCCGTGCGACGGCTCCTGTGTACCGTGGGCCACGGGACCCTTCCAGTGGCCTAAAGGATTGAAATAAATCCACTCAAGGGTACAACAGCGGGGCCCGCTGGGGTTTTTATTTACCAGAGCGATGACAGAGAACTAAATTTATCCTTCTATTTCAGGCAGGGTCTCTCCTCCGGTGAAAGCCTACACCTAAATACTGTGTCAAACATCAACTCACAATGTCAAGTGTGCGCGCGCCTACTGCTTCCATGCACTCGTGGTTTGTTTATCTACACCAAATCAAGACTCGAGGGATTGTGTTCGATGGAAAACGGGTATGACGTTCAGAGAGCTTATAGTTCAGTGTTTGTATCCGTATTACTGTCCCCACAATATGGCAAATTATGTATAGTAGTGTGTGCTGAAAGAGTATATGTATATTTCTGGAAAGTAGCGGAGTAGCTCACAAATACTGTACACAAAAATGTGTTTTATTATATCATTGTTATTCATGTGTAAATCTTAGCTTAGAAGAGTTCATATCAGTATTCTTCGCTCGCCGAAGGCAGTTTTCCACTTGTTTAATTTACATTGTTTGAGAGTTGGGTTGAGTGTCGGCTTCTTCCCTGCTTTGTGGAGGATACGGGAGCAACAAATGCGTTGTTTCAGAGTGTGTGACAAAATATTCTCACGGTTCACGTGGCGCTACGAAGTGTTGGTCAGCAATGGATTCAAAGTAAAACTGGAGCATCCATGAAGTTTATTGCAGATTAAGCAGAACCCGCAAACAACAAGAAGCTCCAGTAAAGAAACGTACTGATACTTTTGAGGTCATTTCACTCAACAAGTCTCCAGTCTTGGAACTACGTGCTAATGTTAGCATGCTAACATGCTCGCAGTGACACGGTTTGTTTATGCTCGCCACGTTTTTCACTGTGTTAGCATGCTAATGTTAGCACTAAAAACACTGCAATGGTCATTGTGAATGTCACGCTGTAAGTATTTGAACCAAATGTACATAATTCAAGTTGTATACCTTTTAATTTAGACAGAGATATGAACGGCTGCACCACGTTACCAACACGCCGGTCTGAAGCCCACAGTGGCTCTACAGCAAAAGGCATCTGTAGTTTATCCTCTGGGGACCCTGATGTCAAAATTCCAATTCCCACACACACGGTAATGGGAATATTTTTGTCACTCACATTTACCTTAAAGTTAAGGATAATCAATTACCGGCGAGACCCTCGAAGAGAACGTAACTGTGAATGTTCGGACTCGAATGGTCGACGTGCGATGTGAGTTGGACGCCAGTGGAAAGCTGCCTTGCACGCTGCTGGAGAAAGCAGGAGGGAGACTGGTTGAATGTTCCGACGGTCCAAACTGAGCTCCGCTGTGGGGTCGGGCTCTACAGCCTTTACACCCCGTTTCCCTTTAAAACACATTGAGTCATTACGCTTGCGCCCGGGGGCCCCGTGAAAACACGTGTGTCCTCAAAACGCTGTCGTTATTCACGCCCACCTCGGGTGTGAATTTAGGTTCGACTCGTTCAGGTTAGCCACGTGTCACTGTCATCCACCTCAACCGATAATGTTTGAATTTACAGCAATTGGAAGCCGGTGGGCATAACTGGCATCAATAAGAAATACAGCACGCCGTTTTCTCCTCGACTTGCAGTTGTGTCCGATGGCGCCTGGGTGCCGCGAGAGCGCAGTGGGAAAAGAGTGCATGTTTACACAGAGGATTGTTTTAGACAGCAAGTGTACATATTTGTTTATAATATTTTAGCTGAAGTTGACTTACACCACCGCATGCCTGCTGAAACAAAAGGAGAGTGAACAAGGAGGAGAGTGTTGATCAGACTATTCAAATATTTTTCTCCATTAAAATTCCACTCATCCGACGTATTTTTGTTGAGGTTTTTAATTATTTTTTTTTTGTTTTTTTTGGCAGCAGCATGTTTATAATCATGAAAGCCGAGAAGAAGCCGTCGCGTTACATTAAAACAATGCTAGAAAAAAAAAAAAAAGATTCCCAGATGAAATTTCTCACCAGTACAACGTCCATCTGTGATTTATTGTGAAATGAAAGAGCAGCAACACGAACGCCCACACGCAGCCCGTCTGAGTGAATCTCCAATATGTGTCACAATCCGTGTCTATTCCTGTCCCTTTTGAAGTAATCAATTGCCTTAACAAATGGATGGATCAGCGCTGCGCTCGGGGCTCTGCACAGTGCTCACGTGGGACAGAAAGTAAATCACGCTTCAACACAAACTGTCAACAGATGGCCCGGCGCGCTCAGACCAACGAAACGCAAACAAATTCGTCGATATTTGGCAACCCAGTAGTGATTGTTGTGTCGTCCTAACCTCCGGTTATCGGCGGAGTGGTGGACTGATTTGCTGCTACTGATTTGACCTTTATTATGAAACAAGGGGGGGAGGATATCTGTGAGAATGTTTATCTGCAGGCGGTTTCCTGAAAAAACAAAAAAATCCCAAGTAACAAGACAACGACACACGTTGAGTTTCCCCATTTAGCTTTAAAAACAAAACAAATAGGTCATGAATATTTATTTATTTAGTTAGGCCTCTGTGATGTCATGAACAGATGGCCACTGCAGTCAGTTGGCTACGGTTACCTACATCGGCGTAAATGGGGATTTTGTTGTGGACTATTTCCTGCAGTGGGTTGATACACAATTGGTGAGTTCAGTGGTAGTAAACATGGCACCCAGTGGGGCTCACGGGTGTGCTTCTTTATAGCTCTTTAGAGCGGAAGTGACCATGTGACTGCAGCCCCTCCCTGAAGCACACTGGCCTTTATGGTCTGTTTGACTCTAAATGAAACATCATTTACACAAAGAAGATTTGGGACTACAGATTGAGACCATAAAGTCATGTGCCCAATGTTTCCTGGGGTAATAAATCAAGAGAGAAGTAGAGTCATTTTCTCATAGACTTCTACACAAATTGACTTTCTTTTAAAAAGCAGAGTAGCCCCCTGCTGGCCAGCTGACAGAATGCAATTTGCCTCACTCGACTTGTAATTGTTTCACTGGCAAATACGCACCGAATCAAAGTGTTTCGATCTACTGCCCCCAAGTTATCAAAAGTATGAATTCTAGGTCTGTGATGTGAGCCCCTGGGGGGGGAGGGGGGGCAGTGTGGCGGCGGGGGACTTCTGGCCCACACTGGGTCAAGGACAACCCCCCCCCCCCCTCCAAACCCCAGCGCATGGTCCCTCCCCCTTGATAAATCAATATGTCCAGCCTCCACGGTCTGTCTGTACAGTATATGTCCCCCTCACTGTTTGTCGGCATTGTCACGGAGGAAACATTTTACCAAATAAAGGTCCTTGAACATGTAAAGGTACGCTTTTTCTTTCCAAACCGACAATGGTTTAAAGAAGGATGACTTCCTTAATATAGCCTCTATTAGTTAATGCACCCTATAATAATCCTACTAAACAAAAGCAGGAGCAACTATTTTACAAGTCAGTGTTTAAACATTTAACGTTTAAAACGTTACAAAGGTCTTCAAAGCCCTTGAATGGTGCCCTATTAACCTTAATTTATCCAGTATTGAACGAGAGCGCTGAAGGCGCCAAACTTTTTAAGATGCCAAATGCTCAAATCTGCTAACCTGCTTTTTATATACCACTAAGAAAAAAATGTTTTAGCATTGTCATTGTTGGCATTTAGCTTAAAGCGCTGTTGCTCATAGACAAACGCAGCTTAAAAATGACATGCGCATTTGGTTTCGGGTGGGCTTTGTCTCGTTGAGTTCAAATCTTCAAAAGGAAACGGCAGTCGCTTCATTCAAATGGAACAAAAAGCTCCTCGTTATCTTCTCGCCCTTTTGGTCCTGCGATCCGCGGCCGGGTAGCTTCAGACGTGGCCGGTGAAAGCAGAGCGAGAGAGAAAGAAAGATGAGAAGAAGAAAAAAGAAAACGTCAAAAGAAGATGGAGGCTCGGCCTTGAGAACGGGAGAGACACGAGAGGGACGTAATGAAAGAAAAGCGCGGTTACACAACGCGGCGCCTCAGAAGAGGCTGCCATCGGCTGGGGCTCCTTGAGTACGGCTGCTGAGATAACAAGGCAGGAATTATCTCCCAAAGTCCTATTAATAGCGGGCAAGTCACATCTTGTCCCTCAGTGAGAGAGCATCCTGCGCCCAGAGGCACCACTTCCCCCAATTTGACTCTTTTTGAAATGTGCATTTTGACAGACATTTGCAAGCCGGGACGGACTGCCAAGGCTCTCCATTACAACGCGCTCGCACACTTCAGCGCCATCGCAGCGGCGGTTATTTCGTCTCTGACTGACTGAAAGTCGGGTTCAAGGACTACGAATATATGAGGGCTTTAAAAATGTTGGAAATTGACATGTTTAGTTTGTGTTCTAGATTGACAGAAACAGCGAGAGAGGAATCTCACCTCGGGTTGGTTTAGTCACTTTGGAGCTTTTGGCCATATTGCATGAATATAACATTTTTGAAACATAAAATTAATGTTCAAGTCGAGGGAGTGGCATCGTCACTCACATCGACAAACTTTGCACTTTTAAACTCTACAGCAGAGGTCTTCAACAGGGGGTCCGCGGAGGTACTGCAGGGGGGGTCGCGAAATTTTTGGTTGATAAGAATTTTTTTTTCCACAAATTGAAATGTCTTCAGAATCAGTGTTGTATTTATTGTCTTCTTTATTGTCACACATTAACATAAATCCAACATATTGTAGCGAACGGATAAATCCACACATCCAGCTTCCCACAGCAGCTCTCAAGCTGGACACCGGTTCACTCACAGCACCTTTCATGCTGATGCGACAGCAGAGGCAGCAGCCAATCAGATCACGTTCATGCTCACGTAAACGCGCAAAGCTGAAAAATAAAAGATGGCGGACGAAACTAGAATAGGGGGTCCCTGCTCCATCTCGCCATCAGTTTGGGGGTCCTTGCCCTGAAAAAACGTTGAGGACCCCTGCTCCACAGTGACTACAGCTCGTGGTGAGATGGTCAAAAATCAGCTTGGAAAACCCCAAACTGAGGCCGACTATTAGAAAGTAGACGCACAAACGCAGGGGGGGGGGGGTTGCAGGTGAGCAGCTCCAGGCTTGGGTGTCTAAAGGGTCGGGATCAGCACACACGGCGGCCCCGCCGACCCGGCTCTCCGTGCCGGCGCCACACTGACCTACAGTTGCATCGCCTTTCGAGGGAACAGGTAGGATTAGCGCTGACGTCTTGCACTGCCTTGTCTAACAAGCTCACACTCCCCCACACCGGGGGAGGGAGGGAGGGAGGGACAGAGCTATGTACACAAGCAACATGTCACCCTTTGCATAAGGCACATTTATTTAAGGAAAGAGTAAGAACAGCAACACAATGTGCCGCCTCTCCACGCGCCTCCCAGCGACCACCCACCACATCCGCACCGACGCAGAGAGAGACGGCCGTGAGCCGGACCGGCAGGCCGTTGCTTTTGAGAAATGTCCTCTGCTGGTTAATGCTTCACGCGCACGTGCATCCGAGGATTGCAAGAGGGTGTTTTTTTTTTTTAAGTCCTCTTCACCTCCATGTTTTTCAGCGCCTCCGAGTGGAGTTTATACCCTGAAAGACAAGCCGTTTGCCTTTGACCTTTGACCTAATGAAGATAGCTCTGTGCTACCGATGTCACAACTACAAACGTAGGTTCTTACTATTATTGCCTCCGCAGCGAGCTCATAGTATCTGCAGCGTGGCTGAAGGGATTTGCTGAGGATTATAGTTTTTGCACCAGCTGCTGAGAAATTTGCGTGCAGAGTGACAGAGAGTTAATATGAAGGGATTCCTAATTTTGTGACACGAGGTGATAATGACAACGGTTATTTATTCATCACCTCTGACCTTTGGGGCTTCAACAGCCGTTCCTTCACGCACACACACATATTTGTGAGCGCCACAAAGTCATGGTGTCTTTTTCTTCAACAAAACTTTGGGAAGGCTTTGGGTTTGTAATGTCAAAAGTTAAAGAGAAGTTATTGAAACATTAGTTTTACAAATTGCCAAAAACATTTGATAAGATGGGAGTGGGAAAAGACAAACATGCATTCATTACGTAATGCAGCAGGAGACTTTACAATGGATCAAAGAGTTGCTTTTGAAGAGGTGCTCTCAGTAGCAACTTTAAATTTAAATTAAATTATACAATTTAAAATGTATGTTGGGAGATGATTTTATATGCTGATTGAACTATTTTTACACTCATTATAAATGATTATGTGAAGAATAGAATGATTTACAATTTCCCTAAAAGATGTAGTTCTTATGGTTGAAAAGAAAATGTATGCTAGTAATTAACATTGAAATGAAGTAATGCAGTGTGGAATATTCCAAATAATAAGGACATAGAGACTAGTAAATCTAAGCCCCTGTGCTAATCGGAACAGGGCTTGTCTAAAGACGCCTAGCTTGTTTATAAGATATCAATTTATGCAATTTACTAAAAAAAAGATTTTTCTTTGTATTCTTGCATCACTCTCCAGAAACACAAATTGGTTGGATCGCTCTCCTGTTAAAATAAGCTTCTCTAATAATTATGCAGTGTTTTAGTGGCGGTGACTCAGTTTAAATCCAATTAGTTCTTACAGTGGAATAATCTATTTCATTTTTTATCTAATTTTAGAGTGAAGGGAAAGTCAACGTCACTCTGACGTCGCATCAGCAGCGACCGTACAGGTCTGTTTCCACCTTCTCGCAGCAGCTGGCCCTTTAACAAACTCTGTCACGGCATTGACGGGGGAGGAGGGGGGGAGTGGCGAGGGGGGGGATGTGAATGAAATCCAGCCATTCATAAAAATAGGCCTCTGCCGCACTGTGATTGGCCAAACGGAATCCTCACGCATAGGTAGTTAGCCCCGGAGACGCCATTGGCTCCCCACTCTAATTGACAGCGCGGCTCCGCCAATCAGCGCCCGTCTCCGCGGCCGCCGCTCTGGTCCGGGAGGGGAAGCGGACCGGGCCACCGCACAGAGCTCAGTCAAGTTTTGTGAGTCGAGGACGGCGCCTCGGTCAGTCAGCGCAGGCGGTTACGCGACTAATCTACACGTTGTTTCTTTGGTTTGCGTGGATATTAATACCGTATTCTTCCGACATTGAGGACGTACACATACGAGGTAAGCAATATTTTTTTTTTCAGGCTTTAAAAAAATGAAATTAAAAAAAAGCGCTGCGGCGGCTGGATGTTTTTCTAACGTTCTTTTAGACTTTGTTACACAAACGAGCGCACTACGCCATCTTATTTAAATGCGTTTACTCCTTCAAACGTTTTTACAACGCCGCACTTTGTTGTCTAAGCAGCGCGTGCTGCGTATACGAGTCACTGCGCGCACTTTGAGATTTATTTCTCTCTTTTTGTGAATGGACGGCTGCTTTTCTCCCACTGTGTTTTTTTCCCTCTGCGTTTCCACACGGATCGAGTTTCACTTCATTGAGAAAAACAAGGGAGGGATGGTGGGGGAAGGGCGGGGAGGAGGAGGAGCAGGAGGAGCAGGCGGGTGACCCCCCCCCACACACCCCCCCCCCCCACCCGCATAAAACTCAGAACTTCGCTCCAAAATGTGCTGTTTGTTTTTCTTTTTTTAAAACTGCGAAAATTAGGTAAAAATTAAAATCCCATCTGTGGGGACGTTTCTTCATGGTGCGTTTAGGGACCGTGTCGCCCGAACAGTTCACGCCACTGTCTCATATCTCTATAGTTTTTATCTTGTCTGAGTCACTTTTCTCTTTTAAATAATTAAAGAATAAGATGCAGGAAAGTTTTTTCTTTTTTTTTTCCTGTTCCCTCATTTGAATGTTGGTTGATGTGCTTTGGGGCCGTATGAGTTAGTCCTAATATAATAACTGTAATATAACGTATAATAACTGTAATATGTGCATAATGATTGCCCGGCGTGGCTCACCCATTAACGGGAGAGCGGGTGAGTCATGTCACTCTGCAGAGGACAGAGGACAGCAGTTTAACCCGTCCTTGTTTTTCTCATTGAAGGGACCTTTTTCTATTTATGATTTTAAGTGTGACCGACTTTATAGCAGCAGGTCGGAGCCTCCAGCTGACTTTCCACCTCGAAACGGAGTGAATCTCAGTCAAAACACCCAAGTGCCCACATGTGTCTGCACTCTTCTCACTTCTGCTGTCTTGTTGTCTCCCCCGTCCCCGTCCCCCGTCCCTCCCTCCAGTGACCTACGACGTGACCTCCGTGCAACGCCGCTTTAGAGCGAACACCTCCCCCTTCCCCCCTCCCAGATACCCCCCCCACCCCCCTCCCCCCCTCTCGTCCCCCTGTCCCTCCCCCCTAATCACAGAGATAACATGGACGGATTCTATGACCAGCAGGTGCCATTCATGGTCCCGCCCAGCGTAAGTGGACACACGCCAGCCTCCCGTCCTCGCGCTGCTATGGACGGACGGAGCTCTGTGCATTTACCACGCGCTCCCTCCTCTCCCTCCTCTCCCCAGCAGCAGGAGTCTCGCGCCGAGGAGCCGTCCCACCACAGGCCCCCGAGCGACCGGAAAAGGAAGTTTGTCGACACGGAACTGGCGCAGGACACGGAAGGTGAGGCGGCGGCGGCGGCGGGCGAACGGGTTTCTGTCGCTGAGCGTGGAGTCCGTGCTCACTGTGTTTATTATTCATCCGTTTGCAGATCTCTTCCAGGACCTCAGTCAGCTGCAGGAGATCTGGATTGCAGAAGGTAGATTTTCATTATTAGAACTATTTAGGACTTTTTGTCTTCAGATTAAAAATTAACTTTGAGAAAGTCAAATATTGTTGTTTTTGTGTTCATAACCAGAAGAGCAAAGTCCTCCGCATGAGAAACTGCTGACGGAGACCCAGATCTGTCCTGCCTTGTTCCGTTAAAATACCTCATTACTTTTTCTTTTTTTGAGAGCCTTTCCATGAACTCGTTTCCAGCAGATTAGTTTTCTTCCCCCTCGTTTCACCTCCCCGGCTGAGAGATTAAAAGAGTTGGTGCGTTTTCCTCACGTGCTCCGTTTCCTCTTCGTCTTTGCAGCCCAGGTGCCCGATGACGAACAGTTTGTCCCAGATTTCCAGTCGGATAGCTGTGAGTATTGTGTGTTTTGTGTGTCTGTGTGTGCGTCTTTGCTCGTAGTGCGACTCTTCAGCAGCTCACCGGCTGCTTCCTCTTCATGTTTTTGAGGGAGGCGAGCGCGTCTTTTTGAGGCGACGTCCCACCGGGGTCACCTTTCCTATTTGTCTAACACTATTAATCAGCACACATCTCGCTCCCTCGCTTTATCAGCCGGGGTGGCGCGGGCCCCTAATCTGATTTCACACTTTCCCGCACTCGGGGGGGTGGGGGGGGGGCCCTGCTGGACTCCGGTGGTCTTCTTCTCCTCCACGCGGGCTCCTGTCTTCGGCCGCACGCTGCAGCCGTGCGGACATGTTTGAGTTGCGACCAGCGGAGCGATGGACGCCCCGTCTCGTCTGAGGCGTAGGAGGTGGGGGCGGCGGCGGCTGCTACTGCTGCTTGTTGTTCTTGTCGGGGTGCTGCCCGTTAAATCTCGTGGCCCGGCGGCGCCGTAAACGCCCCCCCCCCCTCCGAGCTTGCGGCGCTGTAACGTGTGATCAAGGGTGACGCTTCGGCCCAATCCGAGGTCGGTATGCGGCGGGCGGTACGGCGTGCGTCTCATACTGGGAAGTGGGTTTGACTGTGCGTCTGTTGCCGGGCTGCAGACTCACTCGCTCACTCGGGAGCACTCTCATTTTTCGGCGAGGAGCTCAGGTGGTGCATGATGGGAGTTTGTAGAGGTTTCCTAATCCTCTTCATTTATTTGCTTTACTCTTTTTTTTCTTTTTCTTTTTAAATCTCGAGCCACCGGGGGATTCTAAACCGTGCACACCGATGAGCTCACGTGCCCGTTGTTCGGTCCATCAGTGGCAGCATGGGAGATTTATTCCCCCCCCCCCCCACATGTCTCCTCTTTGCCAAGGGATCTAGTTTCTGCCCCCGGCTCTTATGTGGCGCCCCGGAAGCTGCACCCGATACGCAGGGAGCTGCAGCGGCTGTCTAATGGTTACAGAGAGCGGGAGAAGAAAACCATTTACCGCCATTAGATTACTGCCCCGCTGATTCATGGGTATTGTTATTGGCCTCCCCTAATGGGAGCCGCACGTGGAGCTTGATTGCGTCTTTGGTGTGTGTGTGTGTGTGTGCGTGCGTGCGTGCGTTACCGTGGCGGCGGTGGGCGGCTTGTTGTTGTCTTGCAGATGATAAACGGCAGCTAAGTGGCTCTCGTCAGTCGGGGGAATACGCAGACGTTGTCCATGCGGCCGCTTATCCGTCAGCTCCAAAATGCGGTTTAGAATAACGGCTGCACTTGTGTTCATGGCGCCGACATCTGGCGATCTAATGCACTCGGCCGCGTGTCTCCTCGTGTGCAGTGATGTTCCATGGGCCGCCGCCAGCCAAGATCAAACGAGAGCTGACCCCCTCCAAAGAGTTTTCTCCCTGTCGCCAGGACCGGAGTCTCACGCCCTACGGGGAGAAGTGCCTTTACAGCTACAGGTATGTGGGCGGGCCGTCGCGCACAGGTAGAGCGCCGCCAGAAGCAGCACGCCATGATGTTGATGATTCCCCCCCCTCCCCCTACAGTGCCTGTGACAGGAAGCCCACTCCCGGGTTCAAGCCATTAACACCCCCCTCGACGCCGGTCTCCCCGTGCGGCCCCGCCAGCACGGCAGGTACGCGCCCGCTGGGCGGACAGGCTCCGCCTCCTCGCCCCCACGCCGCCAACCACACCCCGGGGCCGCGCCCGCTGCGCGTGCAGCAGCAGCAGCAGCAGCAGCAGCAGCCCATTGCGGCGAGCGCGGGCTCTCCCGAACAGCAGGCGCACCCGCTCCACAGCCCCCCCTTCGCCGTGCCCTGCGCCCCCGTCAGCCAGGATGCCAACAGCTTCTCGCAGGAGCACAGGTGAGGTGAACCCGCCGGGCGTCTCCGCGCCGCCCGCCACCCGACCGCCTCCCACCCGCCGCCTCACCCCCGTCTCTCCCTCTCGTCCCTAGGTTCCAGCGGCAGATGTCGGAGCCGTGTCTCCCTTTACCCCGGCGGAGAGGCAGGGGCGCCCCCACTTCCTGCCCCGGCCCCCCAGCAGCCTGCCTCGCGACGGCCGGCCGCCGTACCACCGGCAGATGTCGGAGCCGTGCGTAGCCGCGCCGCCCCAGGGCTTCAAGCAGGAGCTCGTCGACCCCCGGTACGCGGAGCAAGGCGTCCCCAGCATGGGGCCCCCGGGCCCCCGCCGGCCGGCGGCGGCGGCGGCGGCTTTCCACGCGATGGCCATCAAGCCGGAGCCGCGCGACTTCTGCTTCGATTCTGGTGAGCGGGGTAGCCGAAGAAAGGACCACAGACGTCCTCGGGGAGGGAGGGGGGTCCAAGCATCCCGCGCAATTAAAAAGCCAAGAAGAAGAAGTCGTCGTCTGCAGCTCTGCTGCGTGAGAGTAATTGTCTCGGGTTTTGTGAAAGTACAGCGGGCAGAGGCCCGGAATGTGGCCGTGTTTGTTCTGGGCGTTAGCACCCCCCCGCGACTTCTAGCATGCAGCAGAAACACACACACACACACACACACACACACACACACGGCCTAATCCGCATCGTTCCTCCAGAGTGACGCCAATGAAGTAAAAGTGGCCGTAAGCCTCCGAGGGCAGAGAGTAACTGGGTCACGCAGCACCTCTTCGCTGAGCCGACCTGGAATAGATCTCTGCTAGAGGCCCTCGGGGGACTTGACTCCAGGGGCCAGTCCCCTCCAAACGCTCCGCTTCAAGTCAAACCAAACCAGCGAGCGGCTCGGCGGCGCGTTGTTGGATGCCCGACGCCCCCCCCACCCCGCCCAGCTGCTGTCCCTCGCTCTGATGCATTAACATTCGTCTTTCCCTAAAAACCCTGCAACTGTTTTATTGTCATTTCTTTCTCGCGCTCGCTCACGCTCTCCTAGTCTCATCCCCTCTCTGCCCGGCGCGATGATGTAATGACAAATCCTCTTAGCGCCTTATGGCCTTTTTAAATCCCTACGTCACCGAGGCCTAGTATCTCTGGGTGGATGATGATGATGATGGTGGTGGTGGTGCGTGTTCGGCTCAGCGGGCGGTGATGCAGCACTTGGTGTAGAGATAATGACCTGGATGCATTGTTGCCACGCGCATTTCACCCCCGGTAAACGCCGAACTGTCCTCCCGCCAGGACGAGAGCGGACACGCTCAAGGAAACGCTTGCTGGAGATTCATCTCTGGTTTCCTTATCAGTAGACGGGAAACAGAATAATGGATTGGGGGGGTGCTGCAGAGACGGTGCTGTGAAGGAAGACAGGCCTTGACCCTTGACTGGCGTAACTCGATTGTCATTGAGACTTAATACAGGCACCGTGGTGCTGATCTGGTCTGGAGGACTTGCAGGGGATGTCGTGTGCCGTCTACTCTCACTGCTGTGCATGGACATGACTACTGCTCCGCTCCTTTTTAATCTACGGCACTTAGCGCGCTAACGTAGCTCGGGCCCAGCGTCTCCCCTAGGCGGCCCAGAGGTACTTGAACGCAGCGCACGCCTCCGGTCTAAACCCGTCCTCTTTCTGTTTACAGAAGTGCCCAACTGTCAGTCTCTGTTCGGGAGAGCGGGGAGCTTCTACCAAAACAACCACGACAGTAAGTTCTCGTCTGCTGCTCTTCTTCTCGCGCCTCCTCGCGCCCCGCGGAGGTTTCGTCCCGTTCATGGAGCCGTTCTTCTTTTGTCTCCGCCGCAGGCTTCTCCTTCGACAGGGATGCTCAGCTCTACTTTGACGATACCTGTGTGGTCCCTGAAAGATTAGACGGTAAGCGCCCCCCCCCCCCCCCTCCTCCTCCAGATTAACAGCAATGTACGAAATACTGGATCCCTGTGAAGTTGGCCCGGTCCAGACTTCTGCTGGCGGGTCCACTTCACGGCCGCCATCTGGCAGGAATGTCTCGCCACACTGTGGTCGCGGTGGAGTCTGGCGCCGGCTGACGCTCTTTGCCTTTCCCTCCTGGCAGGTAAAGTGAAACAGGAGCCCTCTGTGTATCGCGACGGGCCCCCCTACCAGCGCCGCGGCTCGCTGCAGCTCTGGCAGTTCCTGGTCACGCTGCTGGACGACCCGGCCAACGGCCACTTCATCGCCTGGACCGGCCGCGGCATGGAGTTCAAACTCATCGAGCCCGAGGAGGTCAGCGCCAGAGACCCGAACCTCCTCCCTCCTCCCCCCGCCCTCCCCCAATTGCTCCTCTGCTGACGGGATTTCTTTGTGCGTCGTACCTCAGGTGGCCCGCCGCTGGGGGATCCAGAAGAACCGACCGGCCATGAACTACGACAAAGCTGAGCCGCTCGCTGCGCTACTACTACGAGAAGGGCATCATGCAGAAGGTAAAGGCACGTGCCCCCTTTTTCCTTTCTCCCCCCCCACCGACCCCCCTACCGGCGGCTCGGTTGTCCATATTCGATTCGCTAATGAGCACGACGAGTGTGAATCGTGGGCGTTCGTCCCGCGGGCTAACTCGCGTCCTGGTCTCGCCTCTCAGGTGGCGGGCGAGAGGTACGTGTACAAGTTCGTGTGCGACCCCGAGGCGCTGTTCTCCATGGCCTTCCCCGACAACCAGAGGCCCAACCTGAAGGTGGAGCCGGACAGCCTGCCGGGGCTGGACGACGACACCGTGCCCCTCACCCACTACGAGGAGACGCCCCCCTACCTGCTGGACGCCGGCGAGCAGTGCGGGGCGGGCCTGCCCTTCCCAGACGGCTACGGCTACTGAACTGAGCGGGCGGCTGTGCAGGTGGGGGGGGGGTCCCTGACGTAGTAACACTCCAAAAAAAGTCCCTCGACGTCCACTCTCAACGAAAAAAGGAATTCCAGAGCTGGAACTTTTGGAGCCGCCTGTCAGGAAGGGCATTGGGGTTCCTTTCGTGCCCCCCCCGGGTCCCCCCCCCCCCTGGAGAAAAAAAATTAACTCTGAGCTCCCGACCTAAGATGGAATGAGGGGGGAGGCCTGGGGCCGCTGTGCTACGGCGCCATCAGGGGGACTGTAAGAAGGGGCAGCTGTTGCTACGGTGACCAAACAAAGCAGCCTTTAAAAGAGCTGCCGCCCCCCCCCCCCCCCCCCCCCCCCCCCCACCCTCTGTCTGCAGGAGTTTGATTTTTTTTGTGACAATCAAGTAACCAAACAGTCAAAATAAAAATCGAACAGACACACTAACTATTCTATAGTTGCCTTTTTGGTTCCCCCCCCCCCTCCCAATTTTCATGTTGCCACATCTGAACTACGACATCTGTAAAAGGGCTTTAATTTGCAAAAAAAAAACACGAAAGGATTGCCATACCGCGCACAACATATTCTAAAACTGCAGATCTGTTTTTGAATGCCAGACGTTTTCTCCTTTTACTTTTGAGACGTTGCTGAATTCCCGGCTCTCGTGTTGATGTAATCGCTGTAGATGGTGGATGCAGTGCAGCTCCTCCTCATCACTGCTGGGTCCCCATTAGCACTCCGCCTCCTGCATAGCCGCCCCGAGGCGTTTCATTCCTGAAAGGAATCGATGCTTAACGGTCCCGTTGCTGGTTTTTGGTTGTATTGACGTTTCCTCGGCCGCGTTTTAGTTCCTCCGATGCACCAGTATGGCCGGAGCATCGGGGGGGCGGTGCATGCGGATGGGGTGAAAGGAGGGCGGCGCTGGGGCGGTCCCACGCCGCCCAACGGGGACTCGTGCTCCTGTTCGCATGGCGAGTCCTCTAACATATCGCTTTGACTGTCTTTGGACAAAGAACATATTTGTGATATTCTCTGCATTTTAAAAAGGTGTGTTTTTGTGTTAACGGTCTGTTTCTGAGTGGGTGGGGGCAGAGACAAGCGTATACAAAGTATCTATTTTTGCTATAAGGCTGCATTTGTTTTGATTTTAATGTACAAGCTGTATAGTTTAGGCTCTAATAGACGAGTTCCTTTTAAAATAAAAAAAAAAAAACTTATGATGCTACTACTGCAGACTGTTCCATTAAGAGAATGGATGAGAAGGTGCGTTTGTTTGTGTCAAAGGCCGCCGTGATGTCACACGTGATGTCACACGTGATGTCACACGTGATGTCACACGTGATCGTCTCGTAGCGGCTTCAGTTCCTCACCACGTGTTTCTTACACTGCCGAGTTTATGATAATCTGTACTGGGTACAATAAACACTCCTTTATGCTTCACTGCTTGAAGTCCTGCTGTGTTTCATAATCCCCCCCCCCCCCCCCCCTCAGGGGGGCAGCAGACCGGGCATGATTTTTAGAGTCACATGCCCCCCGATCCCTTTCTGGGTAAATGATTAGTCTCCTTTTAATGATGAAAGATGCGTTTGTAGTCGTAACGTTTGAGCATCAGCGTGTGGTTTTTGAATCCGCATTGGAGCACAAATCAATCGTCCTTTTCAGTGCTTCAGTACTTATGGATCATTAACGCCGTAACCATTGTATATAAAAAACGAAAAGTGTGTGCTGCTCAAGCGTGCTTCATCAGGGAATAATTCGGTTTGATGCTGTGAAACCTTCGGTTTATGTCCAAAACTACGGCCGTCGTGCGCTTGTTTTTGGGTGGAATCATTCATGAGTGCAAATAGAAGACTTGGCTGAGCGCACAGAGTAAGTATTAAAATATCTTCTATGCATGCGCCGCTACGCGGTGAGAGGTCAAAGTGCAGTCTGCAGGGCGAGATAACACATGTTATTTTAAATAAAGAAATCAAATCTGACATTCTCTCATTTCAAGTGTGTCGCAATATCCTCTTTGTGTGATGGGCTCCGGGTTCATCATCCGGGCATGTGTGAGAACAGTTTGGCTGCACAGGTAGTTACATGTTGCAGGAAAGCTAAATTAACATTAACCCGTCATCAGGTTTGGACGTCACGTGAACAAGATTCAAATACATGTATGTTTATTTAAACTACTCAGATCATGTGAGTAGCACTTTATATATAAATTATTGTTAATGCCTCAAGAATCATGTAGTTTGTTACAGAGAAGCTACTTTTAATAATATATATAGATAATTATACACGTTGTACCATTAGAGCTAAATCTGAAAACTAAGTATTTCAAAGGAAAGAACACTGTCTTATGCAGAGTGCAAAGTAAGTACTGGTACACGTTGTGTTTCACAAACACCCCGTGATGTTTGTTCTGTTTTCACACCTCGTCATCCGTCCGCCGGAGGCATTCTTATCATAAACTTTGCTCCTCTCCGATCTGTGAGTCAGCTGCTGGGAATTTAGAAGAAAGTCACCTTCGGATAATGATCGGCAGTGATAGTGAGTTTCTCTCGCCGCCGATCCATCGTTTGTAACGACATGGCAAAGCCGACCCCCCCCCCCCCCCCGGGTGTGTGGTTTGTTGAGCAGTGCCTGACTACTACAACCACCACTCGTGAAGATGCGTATTGGATCACCAGCTGGAGCGTGAACGTTCACAGCGTGGCTGAGAGTTCTCACGGCCCAGCGGTCCGATCCCGACGCAACAATGCGTCACTGTCACTGACACACCTGGAGACGGTCCAGTGGGAGCAGGAAGGCTCCTTCGTGACCTTGGGACCAAGTCCACCCACCAGCTTATCCAACTCCCTCTAAGGGGGGGTTCTTTTCATCCAGAGTCAAGAGGAAGCCGTGAGCCAAACACGAGGATCCTGATCCATTCAACAGGAGCCAGTGGTGCTTGGGAAAGGTCCCGTCACCTTGGAGACGCAGAGGGCCTCCTCCCCCGCCACGAATACACCTGCCAGGGGTCCCGACAGGACAAAATACTGCGCACTCAGTGCACTCAGAGCACTCAGTGTCTCAATACACACACACGCAGCCTGCATCCACTGCAGTTTGAGAAAGCAAACCACTCTGTTCTGTCCACACTGAGAAATGTGGGTCATGCTGCCGGGGAGGGAACAGCACAGATCCACCACGTTATTTGGCTGACACGCCGTGTTCGCACAATACTAATTACCATGGTGAGACCCTTCTCCTTAAACTCTGTTACATAATTATCACAAGCGCGCGCGCACACACACACACACACACACACACACACACACCGCCCACAAGTCTGTGTTTATGTCATATCTTCATGGGAGCGCACGTCTCTTTTTTTGGTTGAGCATGGCCGCCCTCTGGTGGATGGGAAGCCGTCCCGTTGGAACGTGAGCTACTGAAGAGGCCGAGGCCGACTTCAACGAGATCAGAAAGGCACAAGGCCATTTCAAATACATATATACATGTATGCAATATATTCAGAGGTTTTCACGCTTTACGTTTTCATACTTTTATGGGATCTGTGAATGCTTGTGCATGGATGGCATCATGAAGAACATTACGCCCCACTGAATGTGACTGCTGCACGAATCCTTTTGTCACAATCTTAATCGGATGCACCAGTTCTGACACGTAAATCAACCTGCAGCAACGCAGCATGTGATGTAAAACAATAGTTTAGCTGATTTTCATCGCACAAAATACAGAAAACAAAGACTTGTTGGGTGTATTGTACTTTTTGCCATGTGTTGAGGGGTATTTGCATCCGCCTCCCAGAGGCTAACACGCAGACTGTAACTGCACCACTGCATAACATCTGGCTTTTAAAGGACACATTGCAATAGATGGACACACTGTTCCAGAGCCTTCACAGGCTGCATCTTTCTGCCTTTTTCTTTGTTATTCCCCTGTAGTTCGTGGGTGGAGTGTGGGAGTTGAGATTTGGAGCTTTTTCTAAATAAATCTAAAATAACGGTGCTGAACTGAAACGCAGCACCTATCAGATCGGTACGTGAGTTCGTCCTGGAGGCGCAACAACATGGCCGTTACATTTACTCCTCTGGATTTTAAACACGCTGACTTATATAACAGACTTATATAATTGTGCAGCAGCATTGAATGGAGCTCTGGGGTGATGACCTCTAACAATCGATATAACTTTCTGCACTTTAGTGCTCCAAGTTAATCATTGTTTTATTATTTTTTGCTAGAAATGAAGCCGAAATAAACAAAAAAGGGAGAGACAGCGAGATTACAATGTTGGATAATGCTGTGTTTGGTAATCTTCCTCTTCAGAACACGGTTCTTCTCTGTGTGAGTGCACAACAGAAGATAGGATGAAAATGTGCGGGACAAGGAGATTAAGTCAAGGCAGTTATTTTTATTTTTATCAGTCCTAGGATGAAGATCACTTTGAGTGCAAGTATTAACAGGAGAGATATGTCATAGGCTAGAATATTACCATATCTCTCATATATATGATATATAATATTTGTTTTTAGTTATGGCAGCATTTTTTATAGATTTAATACAATACCTGAGTTTCAGTATTTTACCATAACAATACTTTGTGTAGAATTTTAAAAAAGGAATAATGTTTCACAAATAATGTTTTTTTTTAAAAGCCTTCAACATATTTCTAAAAAGAGGCCAAATTTATCAAGTCTTAAATGTTTTAAACAAAAAAATATCCCTGAGAAGGTTCTGCCTAAATCAAATAATATTGTGACATTGGACATTCATTTGTTTAATCAGTGTCTTGACGTCATTAGATGGAGTTGCTATGGCGACGGGTCGGAGAGTCGGCTATCAAAATAGTTCTGAGATTTACCGTTAAGTTGTGCACGTTAATTTATTTGAACCGGTATGTGAGGAATATGTGAAGGCAGAATTCCAAACACCATTGGCAAGCAGAAAGAAAGTCGGAAAGGAAACCAGAGGTGAGATTATATTGAATTTATATTACCGTTAAACTCTCTCTTCTCCCAAATTAACGTTACTTTCATCTGATGCTGTATCTGACAGCTAAATAACAGAGCTGGTTACCACTTTCAAACGTAAACTCATTTATTGGTGAGGTAATCCTACGGAGCCGAGGGCAGGAAACCACCGAACAGAAGCGACCAACATCCGTGTTGGTGATTCGTCGAGGGCCCATTAGACGGCCCGCCATTGGTAGCCAATTAGCTTAATTGGCTAACCTAGCCTAGCTAACCAGAAGCATTTTCCCCACCGCCTCCAAAACAGGCAACATTATTGTAACTGAAACCCGGTCATTTATATAATTTATAAGTGTAAAGCCGGGTGAAATAACGCAGATATGGTAAAATGCGTTTAGGTTAATGAGTTTTTTTTTGCAGTTGGCGCTTGTCTGTTGGTCTTAGCTAGTTAGCTAGCCAACGTTAGCTAACCGTTTTTCGTTCGTTTTTTTTCCGCGTTTCTCTAACGCCGTATCGGCGACGACGACCGCTCGTTTGACTCCGTTTCGGACTTTTGTTTGTGGCACCGAACCCATGGCTGCGTTTCGCACCGGCTGGCCGACGTACAATTACGCGGCCAGCGAGTGCGCGGCGGCGCCGCCATTGTATTATGTCGCACCCTGTTTTTACGACGCGGGCGTTGGAAATCAGAGTAAGTGAAGTCACCGCTCTGTTGATGAAAATAACACGTGGTCGCTGTCAAAGTAAAAAAAAAAAAAGACGCACCTAAAAGGGGACTTTTCATGTTTTTTTTCTTTTAATTGAATTGACGTTATTTGACAATAGCAGCGCAGGTCGCGTTATCAAGGGCACGTTTTCGACGGGATTCTTTCCAATGAATTAATTTACTAATCTGATTGTGATTTTCTCCATGCTGCTGAAAAAGTCAGAAAGTTCCTGCTGGACAGGTTTGCAGCAAACTGTATTCCCCATCAATCAATCAATCAATCAATGACTCAATGAACGGACCTCCGAGCTGTGCTGTTCTGCTTCCAGGTCAGTTTTTGATCTGGTGGATGTTAACAAATTCCTTCACCTGACCGACCCCAGGCTGCTGGGTTGGTACCTCAGTTTGTCTGTAGAGGACAGGACGGACATAGAAGGTGGGTTTGTAGGATTATCCTGCTGAATAATAAGCAAACGGGTTTGTCAGCCAAAAACGTGACCGTGCGCTCTGCTAAATTATATCCCATATGCCATTTTCATGTGACAACATTGGAAGATTAACATGGATCACATTTCTATTGTGTTCCTTTCTCCAAGACCAAGGCGGGTTGCAGCAGTTCCTGCTCAGACACCCGGCGCTGGAGGTGTCCCAGCACTACGTTTACGTGAAGTGTGAGGCTGTTCAGATGAACGTGTCAAGTGCCCAGCAGACCGTGATGTCCAACAGGTCTGACTATTTCTCACAGTAAATACAGTGAATTAATAATCACACAATCTTAATGTTCTAATCATTTCCTTCTCAGATCCATAACGCAAAGAGCAACATATTTCAGATCTGGTAATTTGCAAATCTCCTACACGGCCAGTGATGCTCTTGTACTTATTTTATTTTTAAGAAAAACTTTCCAGTAAGTAATAAGACACAACCCTCTGACTAGTAAAGCTTAAACTTTCATGTCTGCTTGTTTGCGCCTTTGTGCAAAAAATGCCCGGTACTCATCTAGACTGTGAGAGGCTTCCCAATAATATGTGGGTGACTTTGAACCGGCTCCGCTACCGCGGGGACGAATCCCAAAGACATCCAACAGCCTTCAACTGCTCAACCGCGCAGGAGCCGAACCAGCAGCCGGGCGGCACCGTAAGGGCACAAACACTTTCTTTGTATACGACACTGGCGTAGTCATAAACTACCTTCTAATTCAAGTTACCATTTTTGGCAATTCATAATACATTATTTTGAAGGCTTTCTGCCATCTGAGCGAACAACGGCCATCGTGGCAGACGTCCGGCGAGGGTCCGGCTGCCCCACCCAGCTTCTCTGTGGAACCACACAGGCAGGGGGGGCAGCCTGAGCTCAGGAGCTGCACCGCAACGCCAAAAGGTGACAAATGCGACAGCACGTACGCCGACGTCAGTCTATCACGGTGAGTTCTCTGCTCTTAAAGGTAATGACACAAAGCCCCAGACGTAGGAGACCGCTTGGAACTGTCCGGAGTGCAAGCTGGAATTCTTGATACGAGCCGCGTTATTTCATGTTACAGGTCAGAATGTCCGACAGGTGATGAAGACGTGCCTCCTGAGTACTACAGCTTCAACAGTACTCAAATGGATGCTACAGAGTATAGTGAGTGGAGCCTTTGCCAGCCAGTGGAGCCGGAACAGAACAGCTCACCTCTGGACCCAGTGGAGGAGAGCAGCACAGCGGAAGGGCTTCAGGGTCACATGCTGCGGGGTAACGAGAGCCCTGAAGGCGATGGTGAAGCTGGCGCGAGCTTCGGAGATCAGAGCAACAGCAGCATCGTGGTGAACGATGAGAGCATTCTGGTCTGCCTGACCACCAAAGATGTGAGGACGTTCCAGAACAGAGTCCACACTGAGAGCGGGGCCCCAAAGCCGGATCAGTCTGTCACCACGGCCGACGCTGCAGAACATCACAGCCCTCCGGGGCGCCGCGTCACTACCTGTGACATCATGGTTGGCGCAGAGCCGGCAACGTGCGCGTCGGCCGTCGGCAAAACTGAGGATTTACCGACGGCCGACAAGCATGTCAATACGGAGGTGTACATGTCAGATCTGGACTACGTCGCCGAGGTGAGGCTGAAACCAAAGGGCAATCTTTATGACGGCCACACAAAACATCACACATCTCCTTTTTATATTTCAGGAATTTACCAAACTTCAGAAGGTCCAAGAGCAACTACAAGGACAAAAAAAGGAAATGAAAAGGTAATGTGTATCAGGAGCACATGGAAAATAGTCAGGAGGATCTACTGGCTGAACTTTGAGAGATTAAAAGGCATTTTGCCTCTTGAAAAATTGCTCCATGGAACATCTTCTATGCATGATATCTGTAATTATACATATGTGTATTTTATTTTCAGTTCTGGTTGTAAATGGACAAAGGAGTGTGACTGCCTGCAGCGGGCTCAGCGGGCTGAGCTCGGCCTCCTGGCGCTGCAGTACGTTATGTGCAAACAGCACTGCTGGAGGCTCCACTACACCTCTTCTGAGGGAGGTCAGCTCGCCCCAATGTGAGGAGACTCCACCTGTTCAAACTCAGGCTTCGTGGGTGTTTATTGCTAGTTTCAATTCATCCAAATAGATTTAGGTTCACTACTCTCCACCTCTCTCTGTAGGAAAAACACCAACCCTTCTGCAGACTTTGCAAATCTTCTGCAAAAACTGGAATCTGACTATAATCAGATGAGGGATGAGATCATGGCAGGAACTCCTCTGGAGGAACTGAAGCCTCTGTGTGTTGACCTGAAGCAAGTAAAATCACACGCAAGTTACAACCCTGCAAAGGTAACGCTCCCCCGCCTGCCCCATGATGTGGAAAAACTCTCAGCAGGTATCTGCTTGTGGTCTAATTCTTCTATGTCCCTGTTTTAGATCGTAAGGGAAGTGCAGGGAAATATTCCATCTCGGTATGTGAGCCCAGACGTGTCTGAAGTAATGACATTTTTCTGGTTTAGCAACGTAGAGACTCTGAATGCTTTTAATGTTGTCTTTTCTGACAAAGGAGCTCCGAGGAGCCACGAAAACCTAAAACATCAGCAGGCGAAAAAGGACGTCCTAATGATCGGAGCACAGGCAGCTCCCAGGTAGGCTAACTTCACTCAGTTAGAAATTAAACCGTGTTTCTTTTACTGCTGCGAATTTACCAATGTGCCATTTGTTCCTCAGAAGTTTGAACGGCGTTGGTGTCTGGCTTGTTTCTTTTCTCAGAGAAAGGGAAAGGAAAACCCGATAAAGAGTGAGAACAGCGCAGCAGGAAGAGCCCTCGCTGATGCCCCCCTAAACGCATCCAAGCCAGGAGAAAAACTCACAGGTAAGCAACAGGGCCACTCCCCCACTGACAAGCAAGTCATTGATTAAATCCTGTGCAGACTTTTCTTTTCCAAATTTAAATGCTATGACTTTTTTTTTCTCAAAATTTAAGCGTTTGTTTTTTAATTTATTTTTTTTTGGAAAATGTGCGACCACAGCTGCCTGCCGAGAGCTGGGCCCATGCGAGGCCTGGTTCGATGCTGAGGAAAACCCGGTGGAGGCCCAGCCGGGTCAGGAGCCCACAGGGGTGCTGGGAGAGCAGACGAGCACCAGTACGTGGTCAGCGAGTGGAGCTTTCAGCTTTCTTTTGGATCAAATGGTCAGTGGTGACTTTGTTTTAACCACAGAATCAGCCGGCGAGGAGAGTGAACTGCTCTGTGTTTCCAATCTGCCCAGCGACGCCACAGAGGTTTGTCGATTCCTTCAGACTTTACCGCGTCAGTGGAGCTCACGAGGATGAGCGCTGTTACACTTAAGAAATGTGAATGCCTGTAAACACCGATGGAGCCAGCAGAGGGCAGTGCAGACTGTAGATCACTTGTGTCTCCCCCAGAGTGACGTGATGCTGTGGTTTGAGAAACATAACGCCTCTGAGGCCAGCGTCTCTGCTTTCAACACTGATTTCAGGTAAGATGCTCCTCGAAGAAGTGAGGCAGCACCTTGTTTCCATGTAGCCGCTCTCTCGCCCTTTGGTACAGTTCAGTGGTCAGTTATTGTGACCTGTGTCGTGTTACGCTGTTATTCATCAGTCACCACGGTCGACGCCTTCGTGTTACAAGTTCTGATGTCAGAGCGGCGGTTTGCTTCCCAAATCGACTCCCTAAAACAAATGCCCCTCTTGCCGACTGCCGTCTCCAGGGTTGCCATAGTGATGGTCAGTGGACCACAATCTGCCGAGGCTGCAGTGAGGGAGCTGCACGGCTGCTGTGTGCAGGGCAACACTCTACGCGTGGAGCACATCAGGAGAGCCGTCGGGGGGAGACGGGCCTCGGCCTCCATCAGCGGGCCGCAGTCTTCAAAGGACTCCACCGCACCCGAAACCTCCAAGACTGAGAGAAAGGTGAGAGTGTGAAGTAGAGACTGGAGGCAGCTGTGAAGGTACTGTGCACACGCTGATTCATCAGCTCTCAAACAAGTGCAGCATCTTTTTAGCTTTTTACAATGTGTTCACATCGCATCACATGTATTGATTGTTAAATAAAATAGATCATAGAAAGTGAATCTGCAATTTAGATTAGGCGGCCTTGTGGTATTTATTTAACAATCCTGAAAAATGTGTTTTATACAGAATTCCCGGCATGTCTATTGCCTCCACGTGGCTTTAAACATGGTGACTGCTGAGCAAGGCGCTAACAAGTGCTAGCAGCTAGCATGTTATATATATATATATATATATATATATATATATATATTTCAGATTATCCTGTAGAGAACCTTAAAACCCGCCTAGATATTTTTCACGCTATGGGATTAATTTCCCCGTCTGTCCAGCTGATGAGTCACCCGCCGCTCGGCGGCAGCGTGGGAGACGGGAAGGTGGTCGTCCCCCCCACGGCGAAGGGAACCTCCGCGCCCCGACACTTTGACCCCATGGGCAGCTTCCACACGCTGATGGCGGAGCTGACGCAGCGGCACCCTGACGCGGGCAGGCAGGGGATCGTGGATGCTCTGATGGAGCTGAAGGCGGAGCAGCAGGGCGCCCTCAGCGGGCTGCCGCTCAGCACCATCAGGGAGATGACGTCGGAGCTTCTGACCCGGTCAGAGCGCGCCGCCAAGCCATGAGGGAGCCCGTTTGTGCTGCTACGTGTTGTGTTCACTGCTTTCGGTTGACCTCAAAGGCTCCTTCTCCTCAGCTTCCATGGGCTTTGTTTTTATTGCAGGGTTCTTTTTTTTGTTCTTTCGAAGGTTTGACGGCGTCTTGTGCCGGTTATTCTGCAGTCTGTTTAGGTTTGAAAAGAAATCGGTTCATGCAGATGTCTAAATGGTGTTCGGTTGCATACGGTTCTTTATGCATCTGCTTCTTTGTTTTATGTCCTCTGTGAATAAAAAGGACACTGACTAAAATATGTTGCTACTTTCAGAGTTGTTGTGCACAACGCGAGTCCGTTGTAATGTACTAAACGTGTGGCAGCATTCACCGCTGAGAATAGAAGTGCAGGCTGGGGGGGGTCTTCACAAGTGTATTAGAGACTGATGATTGATGGACAGATATTTCAGTTGGATAGAATAATTAAGTCTCATTTCAGTTCTTGACTTTTTAAAACCAAAGCCACAAGCTGGCCACCAAGAACAGGCGTCCAGAGCACAATGGAATAAAACAGCTGAAAAGACAATTGGTCAAACAAAACCGTTACAAAGAGACAAACAACAACCTACACTCTGCTGAACTCGACTGCAACACAAACAAAAATGTCAGTTTGCTTCCACAGAGCAGCAGGAAAGCAAGTGGAAAAATCCAGATCACAATTCAGACTTTTTCTTCATAGAAATACTCCGATTAACAGCTTATCATAAAACCGCTGACCACGGGTTAATTGTTGCAGCTCTATTTTTCAGCCCAAATTTCAGTTACAGAACTGACCTTTTCAAAAAACCTTTGGCGTGAGATTTAGTCGGGGGTGACCGCGTGGGGCGACGCCTCCCACCGGGGAGGTTGAAGACGAACCAACCAGCGTGAAAACACGCAGAAGCGTTTTGTCACGTGCGCGGCCGTGAGAGTCGGCAGCTCTGCCTCCCCGGAAGACGCTGACGAGAGCAGAAGGAAACGTTGAACACGAACTGCCAGCGAGCCGACTGCTGCAGGTGTGCGCAGCTACCCGCCCACTCTGACTGCGAGTCCCTCTTCAGTCTGCAGCAGAGAAGCAGCCGGTGAGTAGAAACCACCTCAATCTGAAGTCAAACCCACAGAAGTGTGTAGTTGTACAGAAGCCAACCGTCTCGGTTGATGAGTAAAAGCAGATTGTTATTTATCCTCAGGTTGGGAAATCCATGATTTCAGGCTCACAGTCAAATCCAAACAAATGATGGATGAGTGAAACTGTTCATTATTGGTCATGTGTATGCTGAATGATCAGGTTATTGACTGGAACCGAATCACTGTTTCTTACCAAGGTAACCACTTGAGCTGAAAAGGACTCATTCTTTCTTCAAATGAGCTTTTAAATCCACAATGGAAGACGAACCTTCGACAGAAGCACCAGCCGCGTCGGGTGAGTGATGACACGTCCAACCACACAAGCAGTTTTTACAACCAACGGTTAAACACTGACCTTTTACACCGCTGCTGCCGAATATGAATACAGCAGTTGGCTCTGTAGGCGAACTGCAGGGGGTCCAGGAGAGTCAGCGAGGGTCTTCAGGTGGGACAGGACTAGCCGTTCAAAAGACGTCATGACCACAGGGCGACGGGCCGGTTGGTGGAGCTGTGGGGGATGAATCAGGACATTATCTATCAAATCTGCAGTAGAATTCATTCAGCTCGTCTGCCAGGAGGAGGTCATTCAGGGAGGGGGGGGGGGGGGGGCAGGAGTAGACTCTAGGCAATAGACGCCCCTCACACATGAACCTGCATGGGTTATACGTGATTTAGTGAATCAATAGATATAAACTGCATGGTGATCATATTTTATAAAACAAAAACTTCTGAATAAATGTAAACATAACCTAACTGTTTTTTTCTTAGAAAGTCTGATACTAATTCAAATTTCCATTTTCTATATCTCTACAGAAAATGGCGGTGACGACCGGTGGCCGCGGTATCCCGTGCGAGTTGGCGCTGCGGTTGGAGCTGCGGTTGGGGCATCGACCGGAGTGATAGCCGGACTGGCAGCCGGAGCGGGGGTGGCTGGAGCAGCGACTGCGGCAGTGACGGGAGCTGCGGCCGGAGTGGCATCTGGAACGGCAGCAGGAGCAGCGGCCGGAACGGCAGCAGGAGCATTGGCAGGAGCATTGGCAGGAGCGGCGGCAGGAGCGGCGGCAGGAGCGGCGGCAGGAGCGGCGGCAGGAGCGGCGGCCGGAGCGGCGGCCGGAGCGGCGGCCGGAGCGGCGGCAGGAGCGGCGGCAGGAGCAACGGCCGGAACGGCGGCAGGAGCAACGGTCGGAAGGGCGGCCGGAAGGGCGGCAGGAGCGGCGGTCAGAACGGCAACAGAATCAATGCAAGCAATGAGTTTGCCGGTGATCGGAATGTCAGCAGAAGCAATGCCAGTAGAGTTGCTCCAAATGACCGCAGTAACAATGCCAGGAGCGGCAGTCGGAACGGCAGCAGGAGCATTGGCAGGAGCATTGGCAGGAGCGGCGGTCGGGAACGGCAGCACTAACATTGGCAGGAGCGGCGGTCGGAGCAGCAGCAGATGCAATGCCAAGAGCGGCGGTCGGAGCAGCAGCAGATGCAATGCCAGGAGCGGCGGTCGGAGCAGCAGCAGATGCAATGCCAAGAGCAATGCCAAGAGCGGCGGTCGGAGCGGCAGCAGATGCAATGCCAGGAGCGGTGGTCGGAGCGGCAGTAGGAGCATTGGCAGGAGCGGTGGTCGGAACGGCAGCAGATGCATTGGCAGGAGCGGCGGTCGGAACGGCGGCAGATGAAATGCCAGGAGCGGCGGTCGGAGCGGCGGTCGGAACGGCGGCAGATGCAATGCCAAGAGCGGCGGTCGGAGCGGCGGCAGGAGCATTGGCAGGAGCGGCGGTCGGAGCGGCAGCAGCAGTGGCGACGGAAGCGACGGCGCTGGCAGTGGCAGTTGCCGTGTCGATGGTGGTGATTGGAGTGACGTTTGCACCTCGTACACGTAGCGTTTGTGACGGCAAAAGTAGCAGTGAAGGTAAATAAACAGAACTGAGTTAGAAATATTGTTGTCTATATTACTATTTATTATTGCAGGGATCTGTTGTTGGCCTTAAACTCAGTTTAGGTTTTATTTAGCTATTAAAGCTGCAGCAGCATTGGTCGGGCCCTCGCACATGCAGCACGTGGAGGCTACCTGCTAACATTAATAAAACTGTGTGATGGAAATACCTCTAAATTAAAGGTAACGTGTGAATAAATCAATGCTCTTTTAGAATCCGGGGATCTTCAGCCTCTGAAGCGGAGCAGGAGTTATGAAATGCTGCCCCCCAACTGTGAGTTTAACTTCTGTTTACTACGATATGAGTACAGTGTTCACTTGAATCCACCTTCTGACAGCTTTGACTTCTTCTCAGTGTCTGAGCTGAGGGTCGTTCTGCTGGGGAACAGCTGGTCTGAGAGGAGTTCAGTGGGGAACTTCATCCTGGCCGAGTGTCTTCACTTCAATCCGTTCAGGTCTGAGGAAGAACCGGACTTTATAGAACGAGGAGGACGGTTGAGAGAGAAAGAAGTTGTTCTGATCAACACTCCGGATCTGCTGCTTCCCCGGAGATCCAATCACAGCCTGCGTGAAGCATGTAGGCGTCTCTCTGATCCTGGACCGCATGTGTTCCTGCTGGTTCTACAGCCTGAAGACTTCACAGAGGAACACAAAGAGAAGCTCTGCAGATTCCTTACCTTCTACAGTGACCGATCGTTTGATCATTCACTGGTTCTGATATCGACGCCCAAAGACGAGAGTCCAGCTTTCATGGAAAGACATTTGCAACGTCCGGCCATAAAGGAGATGATCGAGAAATGTAAGTCCAGGTTTCTGTGGAGGCAAAACCTTGAACTTGCAGAGCTGTTAACACGGTTGGATGACGTCGTGAGAGAGAACAACGGAGCGCATGTTTGAGCACAAATACACAACACGGAAATAGGTTTCATACGGCTGGTTTGGATCTTGACTAAAGACTCTTTCTGTTCTTCAAACCGTGATGTTTGTTTAGTGAGTGTGAACCTCGTTGTCGGTCCACTAGCATCTCGTTCCATTGTTGGGTCCACTGCTCACGCTGAAGGACCTCGTGGTCGAGGCGACTCACACTTTGTCAGAACACCTTTTATCACCTGTTCCCTACTCTGCTGCTATATTACTTATTATTGTTATATTACATAACTTTTCTACTTTTAATAAACGCACCGTGTTTGGTTCAGAGTTTATTTTATAAATGTGGTGTTGGTCAGACATGTTTAGTTCATCAATGTAGTTGAAACTGTTCGAATTTAACAGTTAAACCAACACACAACAATGCAATCAGTCACAGACATTATGGATGTTGATTAAAAAGAAACTTGTTAAAGTTAAATTACTCTATTATGAGCATTTTTTTACTTGATGTGGAAATGTATCATTCTGTTCTTTTGGACCCTCGAATACTGTTCATATTTAACAAGCTCCTCATAGTAAGCGTCCACACCACATTTAACACCCACAGATCTGTCTAAACAGCCTAGTTATCATTCATAGATGCACAATCATGTAATATCCCGTTACACATATTCACATGTGTGTCTCCTGTATCTTGTCATTCGTATCTGGTCTAATTTCCCCTTTTATTTAATTACTGTCCTCGTGTTTGCTCCTGATCCATAATCCACTGCAGTCATGTGATGCAGCAGGAGGGGAGATGGGTTTCCACTGGACGTTGGACTTCTTTCCCGAGTTACCGAGTTCTGCACTAGTGAACTTTTGATGGAAGACTTCATTCATCGTGTTGCCCTCATTGGGTCCTCGTGGTTTCCTGCTGTCATGTTTGGATCCCTCTGCCTTTCGTCTGCTGCGTCGCAGTAGTTCATACATTAGATTGCTTGTGTATATTCATGTTGTTTGTATCTGTGGCTCTCAGGCATTAAAGAAAAGAACGGAACCAGTCAAAGGTTTGGACACACTTTTGAAATGAGAAAACTGGAAAGGTAAAAATGTTTAAGACTCATTTCCTACCATTCATCTGTCTACACTGGCTTTGAAAAGACTCCCAACTTGATGCTGACTGACACGAAGTCAAACACTGAGCTGGGAGTTTTGAGTTGGGGGTCAGCAGCACAGAATGTGCCGGGTCCGGTCTGACAAGTTTGGTGAAAATGCTTCTTGGCGAAGTGAGTCGAGCCAAACCGTCGATGAGGTCAGGTGAGACCTCAGAGGCCCAGAAAGTCTCCGGTGCCCAGGTGGGGTTAACTGACCGCCGTGCCAATCCACATGACTTCAGTATGGGACTGAATTTATATATATATATATATATATATATATATATATATAGTCATCAGCACAGTAATAGCACTAATATATAATAAATGCCTGTAACATTTACACCCTGTTTAAGAATGAGATGAACGTATCATAGCTTGTCAGACTACCTCAGCTCCTGTTGCCATCAGCTGATTGCAGTAACATCCAATCAGAATCGTGCATCGTATGACGCGGATGTGAAAACCACACAGTTGTCATGACCGATTGTTCCAGCAGAGGGAGACTTTGTTCCTCAAAGGCAGAATGTTTAAGAGGAAACGGAAATTGTTCAAGTGGTTTTGCTCAGTAAATTGACTTCAGTAAAAAAAATCACTTTTTCTTAACTTTCTCTTGTTCGTTGTTCAGACATCAGACATCAATTCCTTCCTGCCGTTTAATATTTATTACTTCTTTTTTTCTATTTGTGTGGTCAACCAATTAACATTTAGAAATTCAACAGTAACGAGCCACAAGTATTATGAATGAAGCTTCTTACGACAATTATTGTTTGTAAAAAGTTACACCATAAAAACGTGGTATGTTATAGTGTTCAGAGCCGGGGCGCGGCAAGCTCGTAAACGCAGGATGTTTTTGATACATAAGTGTAAAATTGATTTAAGTTAATTTACTGTTCAATAAATCTTAGAATGGGATTAAAAGGAGACGTGTTTATGTTGGGGTTAAATTATGGAACGATGCCAATTTATCTGCAGAGAGAAGTGGGTGAGGCAGTGTTTCCCCTACGGTCATAACACCCCCCCCCCCCGACTAGCGCGCCGCCCCCGCGAAAGAGTCTCTAACAAAAAATAAAAAAAATGCAGGGCGCGTGTGGCTCCCTGGGCGGTAGTAAAGCGCCGCAGGGGCCCCCGGTAGATATTTATAGATCTCAGTATATATATATATATATATATATATATATATATATATATATATATATATATATATATATATATATATATAATAAGATCAATAAATAACTAACGTAGGTTTTTGGTCGCGCTGTGAAATATATATATATATGTACAATACACGTATTTTATATATATATATGTATTTTATATATTGTAGCGTGCCTTACACGAAACGTTACAATATATATACGTATTTTATTTATATATATATATAAATAAAATATTTTTTATATATATATATATATCTCGTCACAGCGCGACCAAAAACCTACAAAGAGACACAACCACAGAGAGATGCAGCGGGGGGCTATGACCCCCCCGCTTGTCCAACAGTCCCCTGCGGACCCGGACCGGCCTCCGGGGGGCACCACTGGGCGTCCGCGGCCCGGTGGAGCAGCGAGCGGGTTAATGGGCGGAGACTGCAGCGGCGACGCGAACCGGACAAACCGAAAAGGAGACGCGCAAATCTGGAAGAGTAACATCACCGCGGAAGGCATCTATTAACCGGTTGTTCTGCATGTTTTTTTGAGGGGGGGGAGGTCGCGTCCCGCTTCCACGTCGCCGCTGCGCAGATTTCCTTTTTTTCTCTGGAGGTGCCGGGAAGTCGACGGGGAGCTTTTGGAGTCGGACCCGGCGATGGGTGAAGTAGTCCCGGCGCGGATCGCGGTGCGTGCGTCCGAGCAGAGGAACCCGGGCAGCGGGTCGACGGCACCGCGCAGAGCCTCCTGCGGACTTTAAAAACAACAACAACAACAACAACAACAACGACAACACGATGCCGGCACGCGGATCGTGAGCGGCGCGTCGGTGGCACTGAATCCAATGAGAGACGGCGCAAACCGGCGTCCGCTGCCATCAGAGAGACGAACGTGGAGCTCCGCAGAGCGTCGGCGGTGAACGACACGCCGAGTGGACCCCATGTGGAGCCCCGCGGCGCTGGCGTGGAGCGCGGCTCTGTGCTGCGTGCTGCTGGAGACCTGCGTGACCCCCGCCGGAGGTACGGAGCGACCCTCTCTAGCATCTGCCCCCAGCCTTCTGCTGCTGTGGGTTGTTGTTGTTGTTGTTGTTGATGAGTGGACACACACACACACACACACACTGTAAACTGCAGCCACATGGAGGCGAGAGAATCGACATTTGCTTGTTTTGTTGACTGTTACTTTGACACCATGAGATGTGTCCACACAGCCTCCCTTTGAGACAAGTCCTCTGAAAAAACACTTTGTGGAGAACTAACAAAGAGAACTTGATAAGCATGTGTGCCGTCAGGACATAACGACAGCCCTGAACAGTTGACACCTGAGGACGAGGACTCCCACGGAGCCCGTATTGCGTCTCGCAGAGACACGGCAGTGATTGTGTTGTCCCGTCCCTCCCCAGGTCTTAACCTGTGTATGAGCGGCAGCGCTACTTCCTGTGAAGAATGTCTCCTGATTCACCCCAGATGTGCCTGGTGCGCACAAGAGGTACGGCTCACCTGCTGCATTATGTCAGGGTTCCTGCCCTGGATTTGAGGGGGAGGGGTGGGGGGGGTGGGGCGGGCATGTGTCGTATCTCTAGATGTCGAAGACGTCCTCAAACATCAAGTAAGAAAGAGGGAATTAAGGAGCCGGAGCAGTTGACCACCCTTTGGTTGCCTTCCCCCCCCCCCCTCTGCAGGACTTTCGGGAGGGGCCGGTCTCTGCCGTCCCGCTGCGACTTCAGCCAGAACCTGGAGAGGAGGGGCTGCGATGTGCGGCTCATCGAGTCCCCCACCAGCAGCGTCTCGGTCCTGCAGGACCGGCCTCTGAGCTCCAAAGGCTCCGGGTCGTCCCAGTACGACGTGGTGCAGATCAGGCCTCAGAAGATCTCCGTCAGCCTGCGGCCGGGTGCGTATGCGCTGCTGGGCTCCTCCCTCGACTCGACTCGTTTTTTTTTTTTTTTTTTTTGTCAACCAGCTCTCTGATCCGTCTATCCAGGAGACCAGACGCGGTTCGGGGTGCAGGTGCGGCAGGTGGAGGACTACCCGGTGGACCTCTACTACCTGATGGACCTGTCTCTTTCCATGAAAGACGACCTGGACACCATCCGTAACTTGGGCACCAAGCTGGCCCTGGAGATGGGAAAGCTCACCAGCAACTTCAGGCTGGGCTTCGGCTCCTTTGTGGACAAGAACATGTCCCCCTTCTCCTACACGGCGCCCAAGTACCAGGAGAACCCGTGCAATGGGTTCGTAGCCCCGTTGGGATGGGGCAATATTAAAGAGTTGCATTTCTCTGAGGGGGAGCCGCTCTCCGATGGTCCGCAGTAGATGAAAAGCCAAATCCCGAAATAATACTTTTCTCATTACCGCTGAGTCGTGTACGAAGAGACGTCCTGCGTCTTTTCCATATTTCATTAAGCGGAAGGACGGCTCTCTGCCGGCGGTCGAGCTGAGAGGAGCTAAAAAAAGGAGCTGTGGCTCACCGCGTCTGCCCGGAGGGGAGGCTGCAGCGGCTCACTCGCGCATCACTTCCCATCTGGGTTACGGCTGGGTTGCGTGTGTGCGTGTGTGCGCGTGTGTGTGTGTGTGTGTGTGTGTGTGTGCGCGTGTGCGTGTGTGAGAGTGAGAGAGAGAGTCGCACACAACACATTAAAATGGACAGATGACAGATTTTCCACTGCCGACCCGACACGAGCGCGGCCTTTAGATCAACCGGAGGAGGGTTTGACTTTCCCGTTTGAAGCCCTTTTCAAAATAAAAGGTCTAAATTGAAGCTCTCGGGGTCGATGACGGACGACGTCATGTTTTTGGAGATAAAAAGCAGAGAAACAACCTTTTGTTTGCAACCTGGGCTAGTGTTGTTTGAGAGAAACACACCCCACGACTCCCCGTCTTCCACAGGTACAAAACTGTTCCCCAACTGCGTCCCCACCTTCGGTTTCCGCCACATCGTCTCGCTGACGGACAAAGTGGACCGCTTCAACGAGGAGGTGCAGAAGCAGATGGTGTCTCGCAACCGGGACGCGCCGGAGGGCGGGTTCGACGCCATTCTGCAGGCCGCTGTTTGCAAGGTGACAACGGTCGGCTGTCTTTTCGTCTCCGCGCGGAGCGACGGCGAGCGTTTGGTTCTGATGGGGGGTGGAGGGGGGGGATGCATCTGGCCTATTTGCTTGTTAATTAAAAGCACCGGGGGGGGGGACGGACGGACGGACAGACGGGCGGCTCTCCCCTCCCTGTTTAATGGCGTCCTCCAGGAAGAGAAGGACTCCCGCCTTGTCATTTGCTCGGCCTGCACTCTGTTCATAAGCTCGCCGTCCGTCCCGAGGACTCATTGATCGTGGTGGTTTCCTACAGCCTGCAAGTCAGGTCAGCTGATTGACGGAACAGTTATCACGTGATTATGTAATAGATAAATGGAGTTAGCCGCGTTTGTGCTGGAGAAGAAACAAGCCGGTCAGCTCTGTATTTCGTATTTGACAAAAGGCGCCGTTGTGACTGTATTAAGTGACGTGGAAAAAGCAAATGGACACGAGACTTTTCATCCAGGCGGAAACACGCTGCTCCGAGTTTACAGACGAGGCCCGAGGAGAGGCACTTTCGGGCCGAGGCAGTTTATTTTATTTGCCATAATTGCCTCTCATCAACAACAGGAAACGCTGCGTGCGCCGGACATTCCATGTTGGGAACTGAACGCTCGCTGTAGTTCTCTCTCCTGCGAGAGGCCTCCGCGAGACGGCAGCGCCCACGCCGCCGCCGCCGCTGCACCAAGCGGCGCAAATCCCTCCCTTTGTTCGCCGCGCGCATTAGTCAGCACTCCGTTGTTTCCTTCTGATAACGGGGCAGAAAACGGCGCCGCCTGTGCTTTTAAGTTTAGAGCCAAATGCCTCCAACACACACACACACACACACACACACACGCACACAGCGGCTGTAATAACTAACATAAACACAAACACGCCGTTGGATTGAATGCATAAACAAGGAGCGCTGTCGTTCAGGAGGAGATCGGGTGGAGGAAGGAGGCCTACCACCTGCTGGTGTTCGCCACCGACGACGTGCCCCACCTGGCTCTGGACGGCCGGCTGGGGGGCCTCGTCCGGCCCCACGACGGGCGCTGTCACCTCGACGACCGCAACGAGTACAGCGCTTCCACCGAGATGGTAAGAGGACCACGTGGGAGGAGGAGGGGGGGAGGGGGGGACACACCGTTCCTCGATGGTGGTGTTTGGGCGCGTCGGATCGGTGGAGGTTTTCCCTCCGTCTCAAACCAAAGACGTCAGAAGGAGCCGAGAGGCCTCCAATGAGAATAAGTGTTTTCACATTTCGATGCTCTCTCTCCCTTTGGTGATGCTGGAATACGCTAAAAACGAGCTTGTGTCCCCCCCCCCTCCCAAAAAAAAGAAGCCACATCCGCCTGGCGGAGCAACGTAAACACGAACCGCGTCAACATCCGTCAGCTGGCTGCAGTGTGTTTACATGATGGTATAATGGGAATCTTTGCTATCTTTCGGGGGGAGGTGCTATTATCCCAATATACACGGCAGTGAATAAATCGAATCATTGGCCGAAAGCATATCGTCATATCCGGTACGATAGGTGGCGCTGTTTTCATTACAGCTAGTTGTGTTACAGCCATTTCCGCTTCACCGCTACCAACAACAACCAACATCAACATTAGGAGAAAGATGGCGAGCGGAGAGCGAGGTGAAGCTACATCCCTCTACTATCTGTGCGTGATGCTAATAGGAGCACAGCGAAGGCGAATGGCGCTATCAACCGGATCGAGTTATCCAGGCGTGTTAGTCGGATCGGAGTCGGGCAAAGGTGTTTACGTGAAACGGACAATTCGATTTCAGTCCGACTGAGCCAGTCATAAGAATCCATGTAACCACGCTGACAGTGTCCTCCCCCCCTTCCTCCCCCCCTTCCTCCCTCCCCAGGACTACCCGTCTCTGGCTCTGCTGGGGGAGAAGCTGGCGGAAAACAACATCTTCCTCATCTTCGCGGTCACCAAACGTCTCTACGTTATTTACAAGGTACTTTTGTGGGGGGGGGGGGGTTTCCCCCCATTTCATTGCACGCCGTCCAGAGTAGAGAAAAACCCCCCAAAGTTGCATTTTGTTACATAGTTTCAAAAAGGGGATTCTGATGAAATCGATGAACTCTGTGATTCGGTTTCTTTCTTGAGGTCATCAACGCGCTGCCTTTATTTCCCCCCCACGCAGAATTTCACAGCACTCATTCCTGGAACCACGGTGGAGATCCTGGACCAGGACTCCAAGAATGTGATCCAGCTGATCGTCGCGGCCTACAATGTGAGTGCAAACCTGAAACGAGAGGGGGGGGGGTTGTTAATGGAAGCTGACACGTACCAAACGATCTCACCCCCCCCCCCCCCCCCCCCGGGTGTGTCTTCCTCAGAACATCCGCTCCAAGGTGGAGCTGTCGGTGTGGGACCACCCGGAGGACATCGGCCTTTCCTTCACCGCCACCTGCCAGGACGGAGAGCCGCTGCCGGGCCTCCGGAAGTGCGGCGACCTGAAGATCGGAGACACGGTGGGTTCCCGCCCGGCCCCGTGGGGGGGGGGCCCCGCTCCTTTTCGTTTTAGAGCTCGCTAAGGGAGGCGTCGTCCGAAGTGGTCGTACAACCCGCGAGGCCCCTCCCGGCTTTCCCCTCCGAGGAGATGACCGGCAGCGTTTGTCCGTTTGTGAATGAAACCGGTTTTCCGTGACGTCGTTCCGCGAGAAATGACCTTCTGTCGGAGGCGTTCCCTCCGTGGTGTTGATCTCTGGCCACGCCGGACCCGCCGCTCCTTCTGCTTCCTCTGCTTTTCAGCGCATTCAGAGCAGCAATCGAAGCAAATCGCAGTCTGAGGTTTTAAAACAGGCGGCCGAGAGGTTTCAAATTCAAGCCGTTAAAAGTAATGACTCACCTTTCCGCCGCAAACACATGTATTCACTTGGTGCCGTGTTTTTCTTTACAGCTGGCGCTCTCATTCTTTATGTTTACACCAGCAGATGTGTGTGTGTTAAAGGCCGCGGTGAGATATCACTGATGAAACTAGAGTTATTTTATCAACAGGCTTCCCTGGATCCTCCTGCTCAGAGCTCAGTCCGCTCTGAAGGTGCAGCCAAAGGTCGCTGTGCTTCATTTGTAGCGGCTTTGGAAACGTCCCCGTGAATCATTCAAACGCCAACGTCTATTTAAAAAAATAGTGGCGAGTGCAGTGAATCACTCCAATAGAATAAAAGCCGTGTTACCGTGTGACAAAAGGCTGAAACGTAAATGCCGACCTGATTTCAGGTGTTGTGATCTTTCTGCGTTCAGCAGCCGGCAAGTTGTGACTCGACCTTGTGAATCCGATCAAGGGGGAGCTCGTGTCTGAGCCACTCCGGTTCTTCCCGACGTCGTGCCTCTCCGCTCCTTAATCGCTACCGGAAACGGCCCGACGCGGCTTATCTGCTTGGTGCAAACAAAGAGAACGAGAGAACTGACGCTGCTCATTCCTCGGAGAGCGTTTCCTCTTTGGCCTCCTGGGCTGGAAACCGCTCTGGGATCCGCTCCGTCGGGGAAACGCGTTTTACCAAAACATGTCAGACGTACGAGGAAATTGACTTGGCGCTCGGCGCGCGACAACGGAAAACAAACGGCGGCGCCGTACCGAGGCTTCCGTCTGTCCACGACCCGCGGGCGACCTCCTGCCTCACAACCACCGGGACCCGAGAGGAAGTCCACTTCTCCCGAGTCCTGAGCAGCTGTGACTCACACTGGGCGCCTGCAGCAACGCGTTTTCATTACAACGACCGCGTGTTGTGGCGGCGCGGCGCTGCTGCCCCCCCCCCGTTAACCACGTTACCGCCTGGAGGGTCAAGCGACGCGGGGCGACGGCTCATGTCATTGCTCGGTGTCTTCTGGGGGGGGGGGGGGCCCTTTACAATCTTCAACAGGCCTCAATTAAAAGGGCGCCCTCCCCCCCGTGCTTTCCCGCTTTATTTCTGTGGGACAGTTTGCGTTGGGAACGGGTGGAGGAGGAGCTGAGGCAGAATAAAGGCAGTGAAAGGAGGAGGGGGGGCAGGGGGGGTGGAGGGGGATGGGTCTCGCCAATTGTCTTTTATCCACTGCAGTGAAAGGGGGGGGGGGGGGCGGCGGCTCGGTGCACCGGCTGCCAAACTTCCCGGGTGTCACTGCGTCCGCGTCGCTCCTCAATGGGCCGGGACAAAGAGGGCCGGGAGGAGGCCTGTGAAACCGGCCGGCGTGAAAGAAGCGGACTGGCAGGGGGGGGGGCTGGCTGGGGGGTCGTAGTCCAGCCGCAGCCGCTGCAGAATGTGGGACGGCTGAATAGGCCTCATGCGTGTGACGAGACAGCCCCCCCGCCCCCGACCGGCCTATTGGGCAGAAAGATATTAGGAACCAACCTATATTACTTCTCTTTTTTGTTTTGTTTACTCCAAATTCAATTTTAATCGCACAAATCTCATCATCCAGAAATGCTTCTCAATGGCAACTAAAGTACAACGCTAAAGTACAACGCTAAAATACAACGCTAAAGTACAACGCTAAAATACAACGCTAAAGTACAACGCTAAAGTACAACGCTAAAGTACAAAGCCGCAGTACAACACTAAAGTACAACGGCGCAGTACAACACTAAAGTACAACGGCGCAGTACAACACTAAAGTACAACGCCGCAGTACAACGCTAAAGTACAACGCTAAAGTACAACGGCGCAGTACAACGCTAAAGTACAACGCTAAAGTACAACGCTAAAGTACAACGCTAAAGTACAAAGCCGCAGTACAACACTAAAGTACAACGGCGCAGTACAACACTAAAGTACAACGGCGCAGTACAACACTAAAGTACAACGGCGCAGTACAACGCCACAGTACAACGCCGCAGTACAACGCTAAAGTACAACGGCGCAGTACAACACTAAAGTACAACGCTAAAGTACAACGCTAAAGTACTAAGCCGCAGTACAACACTAAAGTACAACGCTGCAGTACAACACTAAAGTACAACGGCGCAGTACAACGCCGCAGTACAACGCCGCAGTACAACGCCGCAGTACAACACTAAAGTACAACGCCGCAGTACAACGCCGCAGTACAACGCCGCAGTACAACGCTAAAGTACAACGCTAAAGTACAACCCCTCAGTACAACACTAAAGTACAACGCCGCAGTACAATGCCGCAGTACAACACTAAAGTACAACCCCTCAGTACAACGCTAAAGTACAACCCCTCAGTACAACCCCTCAGTACAACACTAAAGTACAACCCCTCAGTACAACACTAAAGTACAACCCCTCAGTACAACCCCTCAGTACAACACTAAAGTACAACGCCGCAGTACAACACTAAAGTACAACCCCTCAGTACAACGCTAAAGTACAACACTAAAGTACAACCCCTCAGTACAACGCTTTAGTACAACCCTTCAGTACAACACTAAAGTACAACCCCTCAGTACAACCCCTCAGTACAACATGAAAGTACAACGCTAAAGTACAACACTAAAGTACAACGCTAAAGTACAACCCCTCAGTACAACCCCTCAGTACAACACTAAAGTACAACCCCTCAGTACAACCGTTTAGTACAACCCTTTAGTACAACGCTAAAGTACAACGCTAAAGTACAACGCTAAAGTACAACGCTAAAGTACAACGCTAAAGTACAACCCCTCGGTGTCACACTGCGTTCCCTCGCCGCTCTCTCCTCCCACTAACCGGCCTCCTCGCGACTCCATTCACTGTGAATCTAATTGCGTCCCCCGTTAACTCGTTAGTGTCCCGCGCTGGCGCTGAGGGGGAATCCGGGGGACATGTGACCAGCGGCTCTTCCTGTCCTCCTGTCCTTCCAGAATGCGTCTCCTTCACTCAGGAGACCTCTCGCATGTTCCGGGCCAAGAACAGCAGGTGCTGCGAGGCAGGAACATTAGCCTTTGTTTCAAGACTCGACCTTCGGATTATCTTCATTATCAGGAGCTTCTAGTCGGAGCTTCAAAGCCGACGGGCCGCAGAGCGGAGCCGCGCCCCGGGGGGGGACGCGTGACCTTCGACGCGTTTGTACACGTGGGGGTTTCGGCTGAAAGTTCACATTATTCCCGCAGTCAATGGTGCAGATGTGTAGCGGCATAATTTCACCCGTTCGAGTTGAGGCGACATTAAAGAAGAGTTGTCGTCGTCGTTCTGTGAACACGAGGTAAAC